TTTGGAGAATCTTGGGCGTCATCTTTTCCGGTACAGCCTCTGCCCCGTCCTGTTTTCCCTCCCTGGGACCCCACGTGTCAGGCCTTCCTGTCACGGCCTGTGTTGTCTCACACTCTCCACCGTGGCTCTTCCTTCTTCCTCTGTTGCTGTCGGGCCACCGTCCGGTGCCCGCTGGCGTGCCCTCGCCCTTCCCATCGCGGTGTCTGACTGTCAGACCGTTAATTCCAGTTACTGTTTCTTATCAGATCGCTTCTCCTGGGCTCCAGTCATCGGGACGAACCCTCGGTCCTTCAGTCATGAGGACGACTCCAGCAGCCCCAGCCGTGGGGTCCTTAGCCGCTGTGACAACCAGCGTTTGGTTCTTGAATCCCACCTGTTGTTATGCTCGCTGAGTTTTTATTGAGTCTCTTGATACCATCTGAAAGATGGTGGTGATAACTGGGTAATTTTCCCGCAGAGAGACCTCATTGCCCTAGGTGAGCGGAGCACATGTGGGAGCGAGCCCCGGCCCAGTGAGACTGGCTCTCTGGGTCCATGCTGCATGGGCTTGGCCAGGACCCGGGCAGGCCCGCTGGGTCTTCCTGGCATGGCCACAGTGCCTGCTTGCTCTGCTGGCTGCAGAGCTGGGCCTGCAGGGACCCTGCATGCTGCCATTGGGCCCACTTCTGGAGGGGGCTGCCTGTTCCCATGTACCTGACTGGCTGGGAAGTCCCTGAACTCCAGTGTTACCTTCCACCAGGCGCCACTGGGTGTCGCACTGTGGCTCATCCTTGTGTCCAGGCCTCCGCACAGGTGTGGCCCATAGCTGTGTTCTGTGCAGGAGGGCACTCCCACCCCCTCCGTGCCTGCAGTTGCCCCTTACCACTCTGTCTGCCCCCTCCCGCCCTTCTGTGGGTGATGATTTCCAGACCTAAACTGGCTGCTCGGTCCTCCGCCCGACTCCCCGGTGGCTCCCTGGGTGCAGCACAAAGCCTGGGGTTGCTGCCTCTCTTGTCTGTACCCCTGCCCCTGGATGCCAGCCCCTCCTGGAGATCCCCGGCTAGGGATGCTGGTCCAGCGGGGAGCAGACTGCACAGGATGCTAGTCAGTGTGACACCCAGGCCAGGACTGCACCGTACCTGTGCCACTCAGCCCCTGGCTGAGGCAGGGCACACGGGCATGCTTGGGGTGCTGCCAGCAGGAGGCTGGACCAGCTGGGCCTGGCTCTCTGTATGCCCCTGAGCTTCGCTACAGGGTGCACTTGGAGCGGGGCCACAGCTTGGGGTGGGGGCCGGGGTGAGCCAGGTGCAGGGTGGGCCTTGGCACTGCAGGCTTGAGCTCTGTGCCCCCCCTAGCAGTGGGAGGAGGTGGCCGGTGTCCCGCAGCCCATCTGGCATTCGTAGCCCTTCCCACACCACCCGCAGGCAGGCAGCAGCGCTGGCACGGCCTGTGGCGTGGAGCCGGGAGGACGGGGGCAGCCTGGACTTGCGGGAGAAGGCCTGGCATCCAAGCGGGGCCTCTGAGGGGCACATGAGTGTGTCCAGACTGCAGAGGCCATGGAAGCAATGATGTGCTGAATGCCAGGGGTTGGGTGGGCACCCAGGAGCGGTGGACATGTGTGGGTGGGGCTGGCGGGTGGCTCTTCCCGCCTTGGCAGGCACAGCTGGAGCAGAGGCGTGCATGGAGTGCTCTTGGTGGCCTTTGTCCTCAGGAGGGTGTGGCTGTGAGCTCCTTCCCCGAACAGAGTGGCCGTGGGTCTGAGGTAGCTGCCCAGACAGAAGGGCCCACAGCAGCCCACCGGCGGCACCTCTGTGCAGTTGCAGTTTCCACTCTCGGCGCTGATGGCACTGTTGTTCCTGGGACTTGCTTGTCACATGCCTTTCGGGCTGGGCATGGTGGTGCTGGCCTGCACCATGGCTGTCCCACCACCCAGCTGCTGCAGGTGTGGCCTGTGTGCATGAGCATGACCTCGCCGACCTTGCAGTGGCCTCACGACCTCTCCAGGCACCTGAGAACCCTGACGTGAGGCTGTGTAGAGAAATGTGCCCACTGGCTTGACTTCTGCCGCACTTAAATCCGCAAACTTGGAATAAGTCTGGTTTGAGTCATGTCCTGCCTCTGGTTTTCTCCCGGAGGCACTGGGCAGCCCTCATGGTGGGGCCGGCCCTACCCAGGGCAAGTGGGAACACACCTTCTCAGGACCTGCTGGGGGTCTGTTTGGACTCCCAGAAACGTCCAGAATCTTGTGAAGGTGTTTTGTCCACCCATTCGTTAGGTTTATGCATTTCTTCTGGGACCAGCACCCAGAGTTGGTGTTTGATGAACAGAAGTGTCGTCTCTAAGAACCTGGCAGGGCCAGGAGGGAGGCAGAGAGGCCCTAGGACATCGGAGCAGCCTGCTCACACCTGAGCACTCTGCTCGGCGCCCCTGGGGCTTCACACAGGCCTTGTCCCTGCTGTCATCCCAGCAAGTTTGGAGGTCTGGTGTCCCTGTGCTGAATGAAGTTAGAAACAGCAGCTTAGCAGAATGGAGAGGCTGCTGGGAAGGACCTGAGGCCATTGGCCAGGCTGGACAGAAGACCGCAGAGCCACCAGAAGATGCCCAAATGCCCTTTAGTTGGGAGCCCGCTGAAGGGGCCCAGGGTGGGGCAGGAGGGGGCACAGAATTCTTCCCGCCTCGGCTTGGGGGCGGAGCTTGGGCCATCCCCACCTGCAAGCACTCCTAACAGATAACAGACAGGGAGCTCCCGTCAGGTGCCCCGCCCCCTTTCTTCAAGGAGGGCGCGCCTTTTAACTCATTTTAAGGTTGAATTCTCACCTCTGTAAACTACACACTTTCCCCATCACTGTTATGCAAAACCTCAAACGCCTGGCAGAACTGCCCAGTGGGCCCCCTGCCCCGAGTATGGCTCAAATGTGCAGGCCTCACTCACCTGTTTCTCCCTTGCCCCACCCTGCCGCCACCCCTAAGCCACGTGCTTTGGGGGCACATTTCAAAGTAAATTGCCTATGTGTGCCCGGCTTCCCCAAGCTCTTACACAGGTAGATCATTAAGTGATCAGGTTTCAGTATTTTTTTTTTTTAGATAGAATTGTTTTTTTCCTTTTGACATAAAATTGGCATTAAAAAAGGGCACAAGTCTTAATTGTACCATCTGATGAGTTCTCACAAAGCAAGTTACGCATGTTTTCTACTCGCTCTGTCAGGACACAGGTCATGCCGGGGCCGTGACAGGCTCCCCTGCGCCTCTGTTTGTGAGTTCTGCCCGTTTGCAGCAGCTTGTGAAGGGACATGTGCGGGACGTGCTTTTTCCCCAAATCCCTCCGTGTGGGGTGTGCCGAGGGCGCCCCACCGAGGGTGGGTGGCTCTTGGGCTCCCCTGCTGGTAGACCCCGGCTGTCCCCGCTTTTGGCCACCGTGCAGAGTCTTGTCAGAAGACTTCCCGAGGCCGATGCGCTCATGTTTGGAACACACGGGGGAACCACTGGAGATGGACAGCTGTTCAGAGGAGGGCTGTGCTCGGTGTTACTAGAGACTCCAGGCCTTTCTCCAGAGCGGCTCTATCACAGCCCCACCTGCAGAGCACATGAGTTGGGGCCCCACACCCTCACCAGCATTTTGGGGGGAATGCTCTAATTTTCATGTCTGGTAACCATTGGGTTGTTTCCTTTATCACATGCTTATTGGCTCTTTGCTTCTCCGGGTGAAGCATCTGGGCAAAACTCTTTTGGCCTTTATTATGGAAAAACTGCATGGAAGTTCTGTGCAGCTCCCTGCCCCATGGGTTTCCCAGTTAACACCGGCATTCACGTGCTGTGCGTTGCCCACTGAACCAACACGTGGTACCGCTGCCCACAGCCGTTATCAATGGGAGGTGCCCCTTGGTGGTGAACATTTGTGAATCTGACAGAACAGCGCGCCGTGTCCACCACTGCGGTGTGCCCTGAATCCCCGCGCCCCTCTGGTCACCCCCCAGCAGCCCCCGGTCCTCTCGCCATCTCCGTAGCTTTGCCCTCCTGGAATGCTCCACAGTTGCAGTCGCACGTATGTAGTCTCCGGCACTGTCCACTTCGCCGCAGTCGTTTCCGGCATTCCCGGCCTCTGCTGGCTCCCTTTCTTCCCTCTGGTCTTGCCCTCCTTCTGTCAGACTTCCTTGTGCTGGCGAGTCAGGCCGCACGTGGGACCAGCTGTCTTGGGGGGCGCTCCCTCGCGAAGTGCACACATGCGGAGATCGTCAAACAGTGTGCCCTTTTGCGAGGACCTCCAGGCTGTGCGCAGGTGGCTGTGTGTGCCGCCACGAGAGGCTGTGGCCCTGGGCTTTCCTCCCTCCTTGACGTGTTTGAGCCCAGGACTTCCCTCCAGGCACCTGCTCTGGGCTTTGGTTCAACATTATGGGGATTTCTTTCTTGATTTTTTCTCAGAGCTTCAGCAGACCCATGAAGGACATTAATTTTCATTCATTTGACAAGTTATCACTGGTTTGGGTTTTATATTTTTGGGTTTGTGTCTGGCTGAATTTTGAATCTCTTAGGACATATTTTAGTTACTATTTAATCATCCGCTGAAAGCAAGGACAGGTCCCATAGCAGAGCCTCCACAGCTGCCCCTGGAGCACAGCGGCACCTGCTGGCCACCAAGGGTGGCCCAGTGTCTGTGCATCTGTCTGCTAGGTGCCATAAGCCCTGGGGCAGAGGACACTGCCTGGTACTTGGCATGTGTACAGTTTTACCCCTCCTAGGCTGGGCCAGGACAGAGATCCGTTGGTGCAGTGGACACCTGATCGGGCAGGGCCCACACATGGTATGGGAGCTGGTCTGTGGAGGTGGTAGCCTCTGAGGATACACTGGAGGTCCCACCCCTGCCCAGCACTCCCTGCCCCCATGTCCTGGTAGGGGCTCCTGGGCTCTCCTGCAAGGCTGGCCTGCCTGGTGCTGCAGCCTGCCCTCCTTGTGACCTCTGCGGAGCCTGGATTTCCAGCAGAGCCCTATAGCCTGGTGCAGATGCTCCTTGACGCCTCTTGCAGACATGCTCCTCGACCTCAGCGACCTGCTCCAGGTAGACTTCCTTTCTGAGTTCTTTTCCTGTGGGAGCCTGTGATTGGGGCAGGCACCACGTACTTGGAGGCCCATTTGTGCCCCTGCCTTGGTGGGGAGGGTCCCCAGGGGAAGGACACAAAGGCACGGTGTCTGTTTTAAAGCTGTCAAACCAAGCAGGTGGGAAAGCAGTGACATGAGGTCACGGTGGAGTCCCGGAGGGCCCCAGCCTCAGAACTAGTGGGGAGACACAGACGAGCTTTGTCTGAGGCAAGGGAGACTATTAAGGAGAAAAGGCAATGGGCCCACTTGCGTACACTTTAAACAGTATAAAAACTCACATTTACAGTCTGTTCAGAGAAACTTGCTTTCTGGACCCCAGCAAACTCAATTCCAAACAACTGAACATAGTGGAAAGACCCCACAAGAGGACACCTGTGTGGACGGGACTCTCATAGGAAGGGGACCTGGCTCAGCCCTGTGCCCTGTGGTTGGGTCTGTGGTGGTCACTCTGCTGAGGATGCAGGGAGAGAAATAATGTCATTGAAAACAGACATGACTGTTGTGTGAAGATCCAGGCAGAATTCCCACGAATTCCACTCCTACGAGGAAAGCTTCGCCAGACCTGGGCATCCCGCAGAGGGGCCTGCAGTGTGGATGGCATGTGCCCTGGTGTGGAGGCTGCGCTGCCCTCTGGTGCAGACCAACAGGAAGCCTTAATTAAGTCAGATGCTGCCTGTATTTTTGCCCTCCCAGCTGTCGTTATAAATGGCATCCCTCAAAAGTTCTGCTGAAATATTCTGTGGTCAAGCTAAAAATAATCCATTGGAATTGTGAAAATCCAGCGCTCCGTGTGCTGTGCTCGGTTTAGGGCAAGGCTGCTGACCTCGTTTCCATCCTAGTGACCTGCCGGAGCAGGACAGCCTCTCTGGGAGCACCCGGGTTCCGCCTCTCGGGGTGGTGGTGCTGTGGCCTCACCTCTGCAAATGGGAAGCCAGGCAGGTCTGGGTGGAAGTGGGCACCTACTGTGTGCACTCCTGCTCGCCTGGCTGAATCCAGGCCCAGGGCAAGGTCACTGTGCTGACCCTGGAGATCCTACAAGTTCAGGCATGACAACTTGCTTTGACCTTTTAACACCTTAGGTAGAAGGGGCCCTAGGTGCCCTGGGCTGGGAGGGTGTGAGGTGAACTGGCCACTGCGGCTGGGGCTTGGGCTGTATCCTTCGTGGCAGCACGGTCTCCTGAGGCTGGGTTGGGCTCAGCATTCCCAGAACAGGCGTGGGGCGAGCCGGGTCAGGTCCCCCGGGGCTCAGTGCCTGGGGACTGCTCAGAGAAAATGAGTAAAATACTTGAAGCTGAGACTGCTGGGTCCGGTCAGGGCCAACTCCGTATCTTACCTGCAGACCCAGGGCGAGCTTTCGTGAAGGCCCTGTGCTCCCTTCACAGCCCAGGCTTGCACCCCTGTCATCCCTTGATGGCATGGCTGACACAGGGATACTCACGTGCCCCCAGCAGACCCCCTCAGAAGTGGAGCTCCCACCGGCCACCTGCCAACCGGGAAAGTAGCAGGAAGGGCTGGCTGACCATACCCAGCCAGAGCAGCACCTTCACAGAGACAAGCCACAGACATGGGGGTGACCCCCAGACAGTGTCAGGACCGTGATTTCTAGTAACACCTTCCTGCATTTCATATGCACAGCCTTTTAAAATGTGACTTTTCATTTGAACTCTATTCAGAGAGGTTTTTCTGCAGCATTCAGGTCTTTGCCAGGACACAGGTTGGGGAGGTGGGAGGTGTGACATAGAAGGCAGGTCAGGGGTGTGCTGCATATAGGGAGCAAGGGGACAGATCAGCTCTGCAGTGGTCCAAACAGGCATGAAGTCCGGGGAGTCAAGACACAGGAGCCTGGTGGGAACCATGGAGGATGGGGTGGTCCTAGGAAGATGCACATCCACTCACGTGACCATGTACACTTCGGGGGGCAGGCTGAGGGTGGAATGTCTTCAGAAAGCAAGCTCTGTGAGCCAGCAGCCCTGTCACGGGGGCTTGTCCCGGAGCCTTCAGGGTGACCTCTCAGACGAAGATAGGGTAACTGTTGCCCAGCAGGAGTGGAGGGCACCCTGTGGACACTGAAGCCTCACAAGTACCTCCCTTTTCTCCTCTGAGGGGATTTGTTTTGTACCGTGACTTAGCAACCTGGCAGCAGCAGGCACCCAGGCATGTGCCCATGTCTGTCATTTCTGGTGGCCTCTTAGGCGCTGGGCTGAGGGGCCCTTGATGAGGTCAGATCAAGGTAGGCCAGGGGCAGGGCCAGGGTAAAGACAGATGTGCAGGGAGGTGAGCAGGCCGGGCTTTCTCCAGCTCAGGCTGGGCCTGTGCACCTTGTCTAAGCTGGGCCCCCACCCCTGGGCACTTCTTCCACACCTGCTGTCGAGCCCGCTCACAAGCCTCCTCCCCATGAGTCTCCCAGGCCTTGGTCATTACTGGGCACTCTTAAGACAGCCCAGGGCCCAGCCACAGCAGAGTGTGTACCCAGGGGTGTGTGCCCAGGGGTGCTCAGCCCAGTTCTGTGTTGCCAGGTGTCTGGATCAGGCAGCAGGCTCCGTGGCAGGTTTGGACCCAAGGTGGGAGCAGTGGAGGCAGCATGTAGAGATGCACGGCCGCGACTGCACTGGCCTGGGGTGGCGGGGAGGGGCGGTGGCTGGCAGGCTCTGCCCCGTGGGTGTGCACCAACCTGCGCACAGGCAGTGTGCTGGGCCCCAGGCTCTGCCGACTCCCCTCAGACAGCTCCTTGGCAAGTTTGGCCACTGCGTGCATCCTGGGAGTGGGAAGGAGGGCCCGGGCTCCCCTTTGGGTTCCTGGGGGCGCAAGGAGCTTTACCTGGGTTCTGTGAAGACTGAGCAGTGAGACACGCACGTTCTGGGAAGAAAGTGTGGGTGTTTCCTGCAGACATAGCCGCCCTCAGTTGTGCTTCCCTCATGACAGGTGAACGTGTATGTGCTGGGGAAGACGTTCCTGCTGCTGGCAAGAGAGCTCTGCATCAACGCGCCCGCGATAGGTACGGGGCTGCTGAGAGTCGGGTGCAAGGGGTCCGCCAGGGAAGAGATGGCACCTGAGGCTGCTAGGAGCCTGGCAGCATGGGGGTTACTTCTGCTTTAGAACCAGCGTGCCCGTGGCCAGTCCCATGGTGTGGACAAGGGTGCAGGTCCCGGGAAGCGGAAGGGCTGCTGAGGGCCTCTGTCCCTGTGAGCACACCTGGCAGCCAGGTACCAGGGGAAGGCAGAACCTCCACACTGCACACGGGTGTGCCCCAGCCCCAGCTGGCCTCTGCAGTTCCCCATGAGGATTGCTGCCACACTGTGCGTGGAGGGGCTGCTCCCTTCTTTCCAGGCAGCACCTGGAAGTGTATTTTCCTCATATTAAGAGGCAGTGTTTGGGAACGGGGAGGGTGGGCTGGGGATGAGGCCCTGCATCACCCACGGGATGGTCCCCTGGGGCTGGGAAGGCAGGACTGGGAGGGTCACACAGCTGCAGAGGGACACTGGGCTGGGTGCTCTGCTCCTGCCCACACCCTCCTCCCTAGACCCCTGTGCTGAGTGACACAGTCCCTCCTTTGGGGAACGAGCTGAGGTTTCCCAGGAACAAAACCACCAGCCAGAGCACGCAGCACGGGAGGCCAGAGGGCCTCGAAGCCCAGCACACCCGTGCAGGCACCGTGCCCGGCCTGCACTGAGGCCCCCAGTGATCCTGAGGTGCGAGTCGTGCAGCAGGGCTTCAGGTGGAAGGCTAGTGAGCACTAGGAAGTGTGGGCACGGGCAGACTCCTGGCTTTTTCCGGGAACTCAGGCCTGCCCGGGTCTGCAGCAGAGGGTGGGCTCGGAGGAGCTCTTCCCGGGTGTGGGAGAAATTGAATGCCCCAGTTCGAGACTCCTGTAGTCATTTATCTATGTGTGGTTCATTTTATTAAAACTTTATTGTGAAAACCCACTAAAACAGATGAACTATTTTAAGTGACTTTCCCCAATTTTGGATTTGAGGGTAAGGTCTTAAGTGTAGAACCACTTAGAATAGAATCTAAGAGGGTGGCAGGGAGGGAGGGCAAAGCCTGCAAGCAGGTGATGTGGGCGCCTCTGGGAGGGGATCTGGAGCCTGCCCTGTGCCCCCCAATCTGCCCTCCATCTGAGACATGCACCCAATGTACAGAAGATGCCAGGGCCCAGCCGCCAAGATTCAGAAACCGAGGCCCAGGCTGTAGAGAGAGTGGCTGTTCCACAGCTTCAGCTGCTGCCTGACTGTATGGAAGACAGAGAACGGGGGGAGCCTTTCACGCCGCGGGCCCCGCACCCCCCCCACCCCCGGGCCTGCTGGGCGCCTCAGGCATAGAAGATGAGCTCGGGGATCTGCCCCCCCTGGACCCCCGTCCCGTTGGTGCTGTCCGAGGAGCACTGAAACTGGAAGGTCGCCTTCCCGCACTGCACCTCCGTCATGCCCTCCTGCCCGAAGTAGCTGAGCTCGCTGCCGTCCAGGACGGCGCTGGCCGTGTAGAAGGTGTCCTGCTCCACCTGCACCGGGTGCTCGAACCAGACCGAGAAGGTGCTGCTGGAGCCGTCCGAGACGAACCTGGTCAGGTTCTGGGCCAGGACGGCCCCCAGCCGCTTGAGCTCGATCTTCACGCCGTACTCGGCCTTCCCAGAGCTGGACCCGTACAAGCCCAGCCCCGCGACAAACACCCTTCTGTCCACCGCGAACTGGATGCTGTCACAGCGCCCGCGGTAGCGCCACTGGTTGCTGCGGTAGGCAGACGACTGGAAGCGGTGGCATCTCTGCGGGGCGAGGCCCTTCCTCTTGGTCAGGGGGAAGGCGAGGATGGGCTTGTTGGCCGCCGTGTACCACAGGAAGATGCTATGGGTCTCCTCCAGTGTCAGGACGTCCGACTGCGCGGCGCCATTGGCGAACTCCTCCAGGGTCATGGTCGGGATTCGGACGAGGTAAAGGGCGGGTCCCAAAACGCGCCTCTTGTTGCGGGGGGTGGCCGGCAGCCCCTGCCGCTTGCACTCCGCCTCGGCCCAGCTCAGGACCGCCTCAAAGACCACCGCCTCCTTGGTGTTGAGGGCCTCCCGGGTCACGATGATTTCCAGCGTCTGCCAGTCGATCTCACAGAAGCCCTCGGACCTCAGCGCCATCTCGGCCTGTGCGTCAATGACCTCCCAGCAGCGCTGGGTCAGCTCGGGCTCCTCGAAGAGCCGGCTCTGGGACAGCAGGACACAGGCGTTCTTGGCTTCCAGACTCGTCTCCAGGAAGGTGACGCAGGCTTTCGCTAACGCAGGGACGATGTACTTCTTGGCGGCATAGAGAGTGGCCAGCACCGTGTCGGCTTCCAGGTCGATCTCGTCGCTGTACATGTACCTGGGCAGGGTGGGGACCGGGTCACGGGCCGCATGGGGCGCGCCGGGCCTGGCGCCAGGCCACGTCAGGCCTTGTGGACTTCCCCTCGGAGCTGCAGGGTGCTGGCCGCGGCGGCCAGGCAGCAAGGAACCACCCCATCCTCGCATGCTAATGGAGCCGACTTACTTTAACAGGATCAGAAAGGCTGCGGGCTCTACGTCAGGGATGTGGATTTCGGACTTGACTTCCGCCAGGTCCCCGTAAAACATGGCATAGAAGACGGAGCTGCCCACAGCCAAGACGTACTGCAAGATGAGAGAGCAGCCCTGAGCCCTGAGCCCTGCGCCCAGGCGGCCGACACGCCCCGGGGCAGAGCACAGCCCGTGCCCAGGGGCGGCCAGTCCCCTTCGGGAGGCCAAAGGGCCGAGCCTCTACCAACCTTGTGGGCAGGCACCCTGCGGGCCGCCCCCGGGGGCCCCACGACGAAGCGGACATCGGCCATGAGCTCGTTGTTGAACATCAGCGCATTCCTGAAAAGGGCAGAAAAACACGGCTGGGGTCCGGCAGGGGCGCGGGCGCGCGGCGCGGGGCAGGGGCGCGGGCGCGGGCCCACCTCTCGCGCAGGGTGGGGTGGAAGGACTGCCAGTTGGGGCTCTCCAAGCGGGCCCTTCCTGCCCGCGGCGGCGGCGGCGGCGGCGGCGGCGTTGCTGTTGGCGATGTCTGTGGCGGCGGCGGCCGCGGCGCCGGCGGGCGGGTAGAGCTCCGCGGCCATCTTCACGGGCAGGGCGGCCGCCGTGTGCGGGGAAGGCTTGCCGCGCGCCGCAGCGCCGCGCCGGGGCCTCGGGGGCGGCTCGGCGAGCACCAGGAGCGCGGTGAGGCACTGCGCCACCCGGCCGTGCAGGCAGGCCAGGGGCAGCAGCATGGGGCCTCGGCGGCGCCGCTCGCTCGGCAGCCCGTCCGCCCCGCCGCGCCGGCCGGGAGCCGGGAGCCCGCCGCCCGGCCGCAGGGGGCGCCGTCCCGCCCGCCTTCGCCCCGGCCGCCGCGTCACGCCGCCCCGGCCCCGCCCCGGCCGCCGCCGCGCGCGCGCGCGCGCGCCCCGCCCCGCTCCTCGGGCCGGCGGGCTCGGCGGGCCTGTTGGGCTCCGGGGCGGCGCCCGCGCCCCCGCGGCCCGGTGGGCGGTGCGCACGCCTCCTCGCGCTGTTCCCTGCGCTCTGCCGAGGACTGTGCTGCTGGCCTAGAATTTCCTGCCGCACCGACGAGCCCATTATTTCCTCCCGGATTCAGCTCCGGAGTCTGTAAAGCCGCCCGAAAGATCGTCCTTGGATTAGCCGAGGCGCGGAGGCGAGGGCTCCTCTGCCCTCCAGGCCGCCGGCCCAGGGGTCGCACCGACCGGCCAGAGCGGTAGTCCTGTAGTATACCTGTAGTAGTCCCTAGGTCTGATGGTTTATGTTTTATTGGGAATAGTTAGAAATCTTAATTTTTAAAACATTTTAGCTTTGCCCTAACAATATCTTTATAAATAGCCAGTCATATGCATACACAAACAAAAACCAACACCAAACAATGGGAAATACTCAGGGCGGAAATGGGCTGTAGCTCCAGACTCCCCTCTTGAACCTGCCTGCCCTGTGGCCTTGGGAGCCCTGTGAGCCCTGCCCGTGGCTCACCTGCAAAGGGAGTGATGGGGCAGCAGCCAGCTGGGTGGGAGGGTGGGATCCTGGTGGCTGCCCAGGAGGGGAGGGTGCTGGGCATCCCAAACAGTGAGGTCTCTGTTCTGCCTGCCTGTGCTGCTGACCAGTCCCTGCCATGCCCCTCAGGGTCTTCCCAGTCTGCCCCCTCTGCTCTGCCATCTGCCACCATACACCGTCCAGGCCAGCCCGTGGCTCTCCTAGTGCCCCTCATCAGGCCTCGGCAAAGGCCTCTCTTGAGCAAGGCCTCCCTGGACGATCCTGGCCAGAGGGACCTGCCCCTGGCATTCTGGCATAGAGCCCTGTAAGGTTTCTCCACTACACTCACGGCAGTCGTGATAGTCAGCTAAGCTCAGTTACTTGGTGGTTCTCGCCAGACCCACAGGCTGGAAGCCATAACGCCTGGGTAGGGTTCTTCTAGCTCCAAGCCCAGGGCCAGGCACCGGGGAGGCAGTGGTACCAAGGGAGAGGGCACATGTGTTGTGCGTGGACGTGTCCCTCCTGAGCCTCCCCTTGTTAAGCGACATGCGTTTATCTAAGAGATGCGCACACACATGCCTGCAGATGAGAGACGAGGGTAGAAGGTGTAAGTGGGCGTTTCACAGGAGAAAATGTAGCAAATAAACACGTAAAAAATGCTCAACGAAGTGCTCAGTCCACAAAATGCCCAGCAAAGCAGCAAGGTGTGTGTGTGCCTGTGCAGGCCAAGCACCGTGCCCCACGTGGCAGTGGCAGGGCCTGCTGATGCCCCCCCAGCTGAGGGTCAGGAAGGTCCCTCATGGAGGGCTGCCCCAGGGAGCCTGTGAGGTGGAAGTGTTGCTGGGCAGCTGCATCTGGGGAGGTGTCTCCCTGTGCACCAGGTGAAACCTCAACCTGGACGGGGGAGGGTTCTCGACTCTGAACGAGAATGGAGCAGGTCAGAGGAGTGCAGGTAAGGAAGGAGTTTACTAAAGCCAGAGTAGCAGTGAGTGGCAGCAGCTGGCAGACAGCAGAGCGCAGGGAAGAGTGGAGGGAAGGGAAGCCCGCTGAACTGCTCAGCACTGGGCAGATCCCTTGCCAGCTCCTGAGGCCAGGGTCACCGGCCATCAAGTGTCTGCTTGGATCTGCATGGCATGGGAACTCAGGCCCACCACCCCATGATTTGGGGGAGCCCCAGAGCACTGGATGGAGTGAGAATATGTTCTGAGAACTTCCCAAAGCAAGCAAAGAAAGGCGATTTTCAGGCTACTAGGGAGCGTGAGCCTACAGCTGCAGTCCTGTCCTGGTCACCATGCGATGGGAACTTGCCAGCCCAGATCCGAGCTCTCAGCAGCCCCTCCATACTTATCTGGAGTAGGACAGAGGCCGAGGGAAGACTGGTGCTTAAGTCTGGAAAATAGAGTGAAATAGCAAAGTGACAGAGGTGCTTGCCCCTGGAGCACAGAGCAGCGGGAAGGATTTATTTAAGGCACAACATAAACTCAGAGAGGAGGTGGGCAACCTCAGAGAGCAGGCACGCTTAAAAGCTTGGAGTTTGGGGTTTTATAGGCCCTTTTGGGCAGGTCAGCATAAGGTATGATGTGCACAGGTGATTCATAATTTCTTTGAGGTTTTGTCTTAAGAATGGGGTTATTTAGGTGACTGTGTTGGTCTGGATCTTGGCATTCTTTATCCACATAGATTCATTTACACTCTAAAGGCCTGTCTCCTGGTTAAAGTTACTTAACTGGTTAAGTGGCTGAAAGAAGAGGAAGGACAGCCTATAAATTAAGTTAAAGAATAAACTGCTTTTTCACAGGCTGAGTGGATTTTACAATGGCATGACCCTTGTCCCATGTCCTGCCCTACCTCAGAAGGACTGGGGAGGGTCAGTCCTGCAGACGGTGTTGCACTAAGTCGATTTCATGTTGTCCGTGTTGTTTTGGGTGCTGCCTGGATCTGGAGTGCACATACCCTGTGACGCCCCTGGCGAGGTGTGCCTCTGGTCCAGAGCATGCATACAGCAACACTGAGGCACGTGTGTCTGCCACAGACCCGTGCCTGTACATCCCACGCTTCGCCCACTTGCTGGAGTTCGGAGAGAAGACCCATGAGGTGTCCATGACGGCCCTGAGGCTCCTGCAGCGAATGAAGAGGGATTGGATGCACACAGGCCGGCGCCCCTCTGGCCTCTGCGGGGCAGGTACCACAGCCTGGGTTGGGTGTGTCCCAACTTCTGTCCTGACTTCAGCAGGCCAAGCCGGTGGGCAGTAGGTTGTGTCCAGAGCCACCGCCCAGCCTCCCATTCCCAGCACCAGCCCAGCCTGTGGGAACTTCCAACTGCTCCTGGGGGAAGGGAAGGGCCCACAGAGGCCCAGGAGACCACTAGGCTCCCTGGCCTCAGCCCTAACCTTGAGTCCCAGGGCGTGGTTGAGTGGCCAGCCCTGCTCTGCCCGGCACTGAGCCGCTGTGCAGGGGTGCCCGAGCCCCTCTGGCTAGCTCTGCCCCCCAGAGGGTTCTGCTTATTGCTGATGTCCTGGTGACCCTCCCCGGGAGGGTCCTTGCTCTCCTCTGGTACCCTTACCCCAACCCCCACAGGCTCAGCCCCTTTCCATTACCACCCAGGGCCCACCTTCCCACACCTGGCTCCTGGCAGCTCACTGTCTGTCTCCAAGCCTGGTGTCCAAGTCACTGCTGTGCCCAGGCCTCTCCTAAGGTCTGCTCAGCTGCGTGCTCATGCAGCGCCCTGGGCACATTCCCTCTCCTCCTGATGGGGCTGTGTCCCCAGACTCCTTAGCTCCCTCGCCAACCAGCATTTCCGACACACGTCATCTCAGAGTTGTTTGCTTTGAGGGCTTACCCGGGGCTCTCAGAAACACACTCTAGTCTCATGCGCTTGAAAGTGAGGCGCGCGGCACGACACCTTCTCCGTTCAGTGGCGGCACAATTGCCTGTGAGGCCGCGGGCAGACCACGGGTGGTCTGACAGTCCCGTGGACTGGCCGTCACCACAGCATGGTCACCCTGCAGGCTCCCTGGGCAGCCCACCAGCTCCCCGGCAGGGGCCTCGCCGCACTGGGTCATCAGCCCTCTGACTGTAGGGCGGGCTGTGACCGTCCTGGGTCCCAGCGGACACATTCCCTCTTCACTGCCAGCTGCATTCCTTTCCAGCACTTCTGGTTGCTGCCAGGATGCATGACTTCCGGAGAACCGTCAAAGAGGTCATCAGTGTGGTCAAGGTGTGCGAGTCCACGCTGCGGAAGAGGTGGGCGGCTCTTGCTCGTGATCTGGGGGAACCGATGGCAGTCAGCCCGGCCTCCGGCAGGGCCCCCAGGTCACAGAAGGGCCGCCCTGCTCCCTCCAGAGCCTCCCTCAGTCATGTGTTCAGGGCACACTCGTCGGGTCCACAGTGGCAGGCCTTTCCTCCATTCCACGTTTCTTCTTAACACCCTACCCTTTAAGGTGAGGTGGGGCAGACGGCGCTCTGCAGGGCCGCCCTGACACATGGCGGCCAGGAATCCCCCCCCACGGCTCCCTGTTGTGCAGCTGGGCTGAGCTTTGAGCTTCGAGGGCCGGAGCGGCTATCTCCTGGGGGAGGAGGTTCCGAGAGCCTGGCAAGCCCCTGCTCTGGGGTGTGGCGAACACCCCACAGGTTGGCCCGGCCCCTTGCTGCAGCAGCCTCGCTGACGAGAGTCTAAGGCCCGGCTGCCGGCAGGTCGGTCACCGTGGCTGTATTCCCCTCTGATCTGGGACCCTCGATGGCTATTTCTCAACTGAGAATATATTCTGTGGTGATTTTCAAAGGAGATGGAAAAGTGTTTGACTTATTTGCCATCTAATTCTCTTAACATTCTTCTATGAAACATTTTGAAGATTGTGTAAAATGTTAAATGGATGGAGTTGGCAAGAATTGGCCTGCAGTCAGGGGTCGCTAACATGGGGCTGCTGGCCCGGCCTCCTTCCCTCTGGGACCTTCTTTCCCTGTGGGAGCCGTGCAGGTGCCACGGCCTTTTCTCCTGGGGCCCCATGCCACTGGCAGGGCCGTAGGGATCGAGAAGCCGCCTGGAAGCTGCTGGGCCTGTGCGCTTAGCCGTGGTCCGCCAGGGCACCGGGTGGGGCTGCCTAGTCCTGCGCGCTGGCCTAAACGGTATTCCCCGGGCATCGGGCCCCCTGTCAACGTCTCTGCCTCAGGCTCACAGAGTTTGAGGACACCCCCACCAGCCAGCTGACCGTGGATGAGTTCATGAAGATGGACCTGGAGGAGGAGTGTGACCCCCCGTCATACACGGCCGGGCAGCGGAAGCTGCGCTTGAAGCAGGTGGGCCACGCCTGCTGGTTGCTGGTCTGACATTTCCTCTTGTTGCTGAAAACGAGTGCTAGTTACTGGGGCCAAGCTTGACCTGGGGGCGGGCAGGCGGGGGCTGAGCCCGGTCCGCACAGGAAGGGTGCCCCTGCTGCCCTGCTGGGGCTGGGCCATGCTGTGGCAGCTCTTGGCCCCAGTGCCCGTTAGGGCATCCAGTGCAGTTTCTTTGGGGGGGGGTCTTGCTCCAGGGCTGAGCCTCACCCCTGTCATCCTCCAAGGGTGGGCACCCCACCCTGCAGCGTGCTGCTTCTCAGCCCCAGTCAGCACCAGGGAAGCAGGTTCCCGTGAGACCGGCGCCGGCATCCAGGAGCCTTGTGGTCATGAGGAGTGGCCGGCCGGGTGCCCGGCAGGTACCTGGCTTTCAGACTTCACTCCTGCTAAATGTCCTTTCTTTTCAGCTTGAACAAGTTCTGTCAAAAAAGCTGGAGGAAGTTGAAGGTAACCAACACATCCTAACCGTGCAGACATCTTCCAGGTCTCTTAGTAAGATGGGTTCTGCACTTACGTTTGCTTCTAATGTGTCACTTCAGGTGAAATATCCAGCTACCAGGACGCGATTGAGCTGGAGCTGGAGAACAGCCGGCCCAAGGCCAAGGCCAGGGGGCCCCTGGCCGGCCTGACCCGGGATGGTGAGTCCCACCTGCGCGCCCGCCAGTCTTGGCACCACCCCCGCCCCCCACTGCCGTGCGCACTGTCCTGCTCCCACCCAGGCCACAGTTCTGAGTCCTGCTCCCGGGACAGCCCCACCCCAAGCGGCCTCAGCGCCTGAGCCTCCGGCTGCATCTCCCGTCCCCTTGGGAAGCGGTCTGGGCCGCACTCACAGGAGGGAGCTCACGGCTGCGGCCCAGCCCGGGGCCTTCCTGGGCTCACAGACACTTCTGTGCCCAGTGGGGAGCTTCGCAGAGCTGCTGAGCATTCTTGGGCAGAGCTCTCTGTGCACTTGTGGTCTTCATTTCTCTCTGGGCACCGAGGTAACAGTGCCCCCGTGCTGCCTTCCCCATCAGGGCTCTGGGGGCCCGTCTGGGGCTGGGGCCGGCATACCCTGCAGGCCGTGGCTGGGCCCCACTGCCTCACCCCCCAGCTCCGCAGGGCCGGGGCCAGGTGCCAAGGGAGCCTCTGGAGGGCTCTCGGGGCATGTGCACCCGCTCTTGCCCACAGTCATAGGAGCCTTAGGGTGGTCCTGCCCGCCCGCCCCGCCCCGCCCACTGCGCCTTCTGACAGCCCGCAGAGGGCTGGCGCTGTCCTCCCTGTCCTGAGGCCGGTGTCTGAGCCTCTCAGACACAGACGCCCTGTCCGGGCGGTGTCCTCACGCGGAGTTCCCCTTGTCCAGGACGGCAGCCCTGTAGCTACTTGACGCCGCAGTGCCCCTTTTGCTCAGGCCACCAACACTTTGGACAGATACTAACTGCAGAAGTCACATCTGATGACACTTTGGATTTTACTGTTTCTATGATCATCTGCATTGTGTCTTTTCTTGGGATATGGAGCTCGTGTGTTCTGGTGTGTCCTGACTCGGTCACTGATTCCCCATCAGCCCTGCTTTTGTGCTGATCCGTTGGCCCCCTGCCTCCCTGTGGCCCGGGCAGCACATTCTGCTTCGGCCTCTGGCCTCTTCCTGGCCTCCTCCATGTTCTGACCTGCTCGGCAGGTTTGCTGCGACCTCGGGACGCAGGTGTGCAGGGCAGGGTGCTCCCCTGAGCTGGACCAGCTGCCCGGCACCAGGCGCCTCCTGTGGCTCACGCGTCGGGGGGTTTCCCTCTGGTGCTGAGCTCAAGTGAGGGGGTTCGCAGGCCCTCCAGTTTCTGCCACGCCCTCCCTCCCCCACCTCTGCTGAGGCCACTGTTTGTGGCAGGTCTGAGGCTGGAGGTGCCCGTGGCACCGGGGCCCTAGCCCTGCCGGGCTTCTGTGTCCTGTGGGCCATCTGCTGCTCACCTCCTCACCTCTGCCTGGCGACCTCTCAGATGTAACGCTGGTGCCGAGCGCCTGTCCTGTGGCGCCCGTGCGCCCCCTGCTCTGCCTGCATGCCCCTCGGCCACGTGTCCCGTCTTCTGTAAGCTTGAGGTGCCCCTCTGAATAGTGTGCTCTGGGCCTCGGGAATGTCTGCCAGTCCCAGTGGACTCCTTACGTGATTTCTTCACCCGGAGGAGGAGGCGGCGGCTCTGGGCTCCCTGTTGTCCACCTGTGGCCAGGGAGTGCCTGCTTGGAGGACAGGGATGCCTGGGTTCCAGGTGGGAGGAAGGTGGAGGAGAGATGGGCTGGAGCAGGGCAGGGGCCAGAGTGCCGGGCTCTGCGACCCTGCTGTGGGCAGACAGAGCCAGAGAGCCGCTGCCTCCTGCTGCTGGCCCTTGTCACGATGGCAGACAGCACCTCCGCCATGAACCGCAGGACAGTGAACTGCAAGGATAGCTGGGGCCAGAGAGGACAGTGTTTGAGGGAGGCCTGAGGCAGTGAGGAGGGGTGCCTGTGCGTGGGGGGCACCTGTTCCAGGCCCCGAGCCCAGCAAGTGCCCGGGTGGCCAGGAGCACAGTGGGAAACAGGGCTGGGGTGTCCCGGGTTAGGCGGTGCTGGCCACACAGCTTGGGCTTCCGTGTGCAGCGGGGTGCTGGGAGCAGGCCGCGGGCAGGAGGACTCAGTCTGCCTGTTGAGGACAGAGTGGATGGGGGCACAGAGCCCAGACCCAGTGGGGCTGAGAGGCTGCCTCCGAGCGCCAGGCTCTGCTCACAGGCCTGCCGAGAGGATGGGAGTGGACAGGATGGGGGTGCAGACGCCTGGACTCACAGCAGCCCAGGCCTGGCCTCTGTGGGGAGCGTCTGATTTGCCCCAGGGACTGTCACCCCGCACGCCTGTCCTGCTTTCTGAGAATCTGCTGCTTTTTCCTGGCAAATGCCTGTCCGGACATAAACCCCCCATGTGGCAGTCACGCCAGCCATGAACCTTAGACATAGCACAGCTGGTAGAGAGCGATTCAGACTACAGTGTTCTGAGGTCCGTGCCTTGTTGACATTAAGCAGGCTGTCGGATGACTTCATGACAGCTCGACTGAGTGCACTTGGCAAACAAATCGCATGTTTAAAACGCTGCCATGGGCGAGTTTTGACAAATGTGCACCGTGAAACCGTCACCCCGCTCACCCCTAAACAACATTAGACACAGAATCACCCGTGAAGGTGCCCTAGGCCTTTGTCACCACCTGCTGTGACCCAGGCAACCCCTGAGCCATCTCTGTCACCAGAATTCAGTCATATTTTCTAGAATTTTGTGGAACTGGAGTTGGAAAGTGGTGCTGTTTCTGGTCCGGCTTTTTCGCACGGTGGGACCGCACCCAGCCAGAGCTGCTCCACCTGCTGTGAGCGGGAGTCCGTGAGTGTGCCCGGTCATTATTCCTGCCCCAGCTTGAGGACGTTCGGGGTATTTCCAGTTTGGGATTGTTGCACATAAACCGCTGTGAACAAGTGTGAGTCTTCAGGGGGCATCATTTCTCCTGGGAAGATGCTGAGGATTGAGATCGCTGAGTCAAGGGGGAGGCAGGTGTTGAAGTCTGAGAAGCCGCCCCGCTGCTTCCCGGCCCAGCCGCCTGGGGGCTTGTCCCCACGCACCTGCCCTGGGGGACTCTGCTAGGGGGATGTGGCGGCGCCTCTGTGTCCCAAGGGGCCTGACGTGCTCACTTCCATCTCTGTTGTCTTTGCTGAAGTCTGTTCAGACCTTTTGCCCATTTTTACTGGGTTGTGTGTCCTCTTACTGGGAGACTTTGAGAGCTCTTTCGCGCTCTGGGTGGCAGCTCTTTGCCAGGCGTCCATGCGGGAGCCCGGGTCGCCTCGCTCCTCTTGGCTGCGCCTCTCGAAGGGCCGAGTCCTCGATTTGGATGAAGTCTGTCTTCACCAGTGTTTTGTGTATTTTGCTTTTAGTGTCATGTCTTGGGTGTTTTTGCCTGACCCAAAGCTGGTTTCTCTCCCGTTTTCTTCTAAATTGTTTATACTTGCAGCTTTCCATTCAAGTCTGTGATTCATCTTGACCAGCTTTTGCACAGTGCGAGGTGCGCGCCTCTCCGGCTCCGTAGCTTGATCGTGGAGCGGACGCCTTCTGCAGCTGGGCGGGAGCACCTCTCTGCACAGATCTCTAGCTTTCTGCCTGGCCGACGTGTACCATGTGAAATTGTGTCCCTAGGCTCTGTCGAGGACACCACCTCCAGCTTCCTTGGCGAGGAGGATGCCGAGGATGTGGAGCTGGAGGCCGCTGCCAGCCACCTCAACAAGGACTTTTACCAGGAGCTCCTCGGGGGCAGCTCAGATGCAGCAGGAAGCCCTGAGGGGGGCAGCAGGCCCCCCGCCCTGGAGTCCCTGCTCGGCCCTCTGCCCACAGCGGCCAGCCTGGGCATCTCAGACTCCATCCGCGAGTGCATCTCCTCCCAGAACCGGGACCCCAGTGAGTGCTTCGGGAGTTGGGGGGCTGGGGGCTCCTCTGGGCAGGTCACATCTTCTGTCCGTGGGCTTTTGAGGTACGGCCTTTGAAGGGGCTGGCTGTGGGGTGCTCCCAGCCCCATTGTGCAGGGCTGTGTGAGCAGTCACTGACCCCCACGTGTGCTGACACCCCAAATGCCAGCAGGGCTTGTTGCTGTCTCTGGGACCCTCCACTGGCCCGGGTCCTGGCCAGAGCCCTCCATTGGTTGGGTTGTGGTCACAGGTTCCATCCTGTCCCCACAGTGCAGCAGCCTCCTATGAATCTTGGCTGAGAAGTCACGGCCACGTGTCCCAGAGGGGCCCATGGGGTTGGAGACTGGCCTCCCTTCCCCACCCCTTCTGTGTCTGTCTCACTGTGGGGGGCACTGGCACCATCACAGTCCCCACTGGCTAGGTGGACATGGTCTGCTGTGCTCCAGCTCAGGCAGCAACAGTCCTGAGCAGGGGTCAGCTGCCCCACCCCCAGGGGAGGCCTGGGACACTGGCAGCACCAGGAGGAAGGCGGGCTTGGCTCTGCCACAGCCTTGCTTCTCTGCCAGGACAGGCTGCCCCACGTCCTCACGTGCAAAGGGCTGCTGCAAGGCCGCCGTGAGCAGGCATGTGCTACCCTGACGGCAATGCTGGTCTAGATGGCCAGGGATGCTGGCACCGGCCCCAGCAGTTACATGTGTATGTGGGGGTTGCACTGCGAGGAGCTGCTGTGAGGTGACCCAGGACTGTCCTACCGGCCCCACCAAGCCTGGGCAGAGGGCATGGGCAGAGGTCTTGGCAGCAGGGCGCCATGACCTAGGAGCAGAAAGGGGCCCTCCTGGCAGGAGCGAGGAGAGGCCTGGTGCACAGCGGCCCGTCTGAGCGCGCAGGGCAGTCTCACAGGGCCTGAGCTGCAGGGCCAGGTCGTGGCAGAGGAGGGTTCCCCACGGCCTGCTGGGTGTGGGCGTGGGTCAGCAGGCATCAGCAGAGGGCTGCTTGGGGGCCGGGGCCGGGGGCCGGCAGGCAGCTGTCCAGATCCTGGGCTGTACAGATTCTGCTATTGGCCCAGCTGGGGCAGGGTGGTAGCCACAGCATCTGGGGGCATCCTGAGCATGTCACTGAAAGCTCCCTGAGGTCCCCTTTTCTGAGTGGGTGAGCCCTAAATAACACTATGCCATGCCTTCCTCCAGAAGATGCTTCCGGGGATGGTGAGCTGGACCTCAGTGGCATTGATGACCTGGAGATCGACAGAGTAAGTGCCGTGCTCTGCATGCCCCCTTAGGCTGCGGGGCCGGCGGCTGGCCTGTGCCCCTCCCTGGAGGCCCTGGGCCTGCTCCTGGCCTTGCCACTCTGTGGGCTTTGTGGCCGGGGACCACACTCCACACCCCTGGCCCTGGGCCGCTCAACCATTTAGGCAGCAGTCCTTGACGTCCAGCTCCGGGCACCTCCCTGAGAAGATGAGCAGGCGACACCTAGACAGCCTGCTTGCTCTGGAGAGGGTGCCTCACCCTTGGCTCTGTCCCTTCTCTATACTCATGGCCTGCGCTTGGGCCAGGCCCTGTGCCCACGGGGCCTGCAGACCTGCCAGGAGGCCTCGGGTTGGCCTTGTGAAGGAGGACCGGCAGGTGTCCCCGACTTGTTCCCAGTGTGATTTGCTCTCATCCTCGGTGGGCGGTCCCCAGGCTCTGCATGCGGCCCCCCCCTGGGTGGGCGGTTCCCCCCTGACCAGTTTTTACTGGCGGAAAGTGGCTTTGTGGCTGAGATCTAAGGGTGACGCTGTGCTCTGTCCCAGTACATCCTGAGTGAGGCGGAGGCCCGTGTGAAGGCTGAGCTGTGGATGCGGGAGAATGCAGAGTACCTGCGGGAGCAGAAGGGTAAGCCCCGCTCTGCCCTGCTGTCCCACGAAGCCGGGTCTCACCCCAGCCCTGCTGGCCCCCTCCCCAGCCCCTCTGGCCAGGTCCCGCCCCTCCTGCACCACCCTGTGCCCCTGGGCCCACCCAGCTGGCTGACCTTGACACCCATCTGTTGGCCTTTCAGAGAAAGAAGCAAGAATCGCCAAGGAGAAGGAGCTGGGCATCTACAAGGAGCACAAGGTGGGGCTCCCACGCACAGGGACCAGCCTCCCCCCAAGCCCAGGCAGGCTGAGTCCTCCCTTGTTGGAGAAAAGAGGCCTGCCCAGGGCCCCCCAAGAACCCTGCCCCACTTCTGTGACCCGGGAAAGCCTTTGGCGCCGTTACTGTGTCACTGGGGGTCAGTGCCGTGGCTTAGCTTCTCTGAGTGGCTGGGTGGTGACATCTGGCCGCACAGAGACATGGGGAGTAGTGAGGTCTCTACCCAAGCGAGAGAAGTTGCAGCAGCCAGTGAGAACACAGGACACCTGTGGTGGAGAGGGAAGGGGGCCAGGCAGAGGGCCCCTGGGGATGGGGTCAGGATGTTCTGCCATGACAGGGGCTACAGGGGAGGCTGCTGGGTGGGAGTGGGGGAGCAGCAGGCAGGCTCATGGCCTGTGGCTCCAGCACCCGGGAGGCCCTGCCCACGTGCCTCGCATCCCTTGAGGCGCCCAGCAGGCTTGCAGGAGGTGCAACTCGTGTTTCTGTTCAGCCCAAGAAGTCCTGTAAGCGTCGGGAGCCACTCCCGGCACGCACAGCCGGGGAGGCCATCGAGAGGATGCTGGAGCAGAAGAAGATCTCTAGCAAAATCAACTACAGCGTGCTCCGCGGCCTCCACGGCGGGGCCCTGCAGGGGGACTCTTGCCCCGAGGATAGGCCCAGCAGCGGCGCCAGGGTGCTGTCCCCCAGGAAAACACCCACTACCAGGGCCAGGGCCGACCCCGTGACTGGTGTGGGGAAAAGGTAGGTGCCTGGCGGGCTGCGGCAGGAGCCTGGGGCGTGCGGAGGGACCTGGGGGCTTCAACACTCACGTGCTGAGAACAAGTGTGTCCAGCGGGGCACCCACTGGCCAGCCGAGCAGCTCCCCTTTATGTGCAGGCCGGGGAGCCAAGGAAGGGCTCCAGCCCAGCACGAGGTCCTGCAGTGTCAGGGTCTATCCCATCCCAAGGAGCAGCTGGCCCTCCCACTCTGGAGCCTGGGGGTCTGTTCTGGGAAGCGTGACAAGCCGCTGAGAGGGCAGTGGGATTGGGCCAAGGTGTGACCAGTGGCCACATGCTGTGCTTGATGGGCCTCTGTGCCTGGCCTGCTGTGGGGCGGCTGCAAGCCAGCACCCTTGGCTGGGCTTGTGGGATGCTGTGGGAGCTGGTGGGCAGGCACCCGGAGTGCCTGTGTTGCTGGGCTCCCTCCTGCCCAGACCCAATCCCCTGTCCCTGCTCTCTACCCCCTACCCCTGTCCTCCATTGCTGCCATTTGTAAACAGTGATTCCTGAGAAGTAAAGATGTTCTAACTGGCTTTTTTTCTCTTAAGTGGAGTAAACGTTTTTTGTGGGTTTTGTGACTCTGTCACTTGGTCACTCCACTCTCTAGTTCCCTGAGCCCCCAAGTCCCCAAGCACCCAGGACAGCCTGTCACCCTCTGGGCAGTGAGCCGGCCCTGTTTCAGGAGCCCAGTTGGCCTGCCCAGCAGTGTCTCTATGTCCGCTCCAACAGCAGCGCACAGCAGGCACTGCCCCAATCCTGTCTCCTCACTCTGGTCACAGCGCAACCACTGTGTGGACCCTGAGCCCTCAGGCGCTCTGCATCCCCTGCAGAGCCTTTAGGCCAGTCACCCTGACCTTTGGGGAGGCAGCACATCGCACCTATGTGGGGGCCCCTGTCATCTGTCTTCAGTGGGCCTGCCCCACTTGCCGTGCACAGAGGGCCCGCGTGCCCTGCCCACCCAGCTCGGCCTGCAGCAGGCGAGTGGGAAGTCTCCTGGGCAGTCCCCGCCTCAGCCTGGCTGCCCCCTCGGCTGTGCCCCGTCTGCTCTCTGCGCCCAGAGAGCTTTGGTGGCTGGAACCCAACAGTGGGTTTGCAGGAGCGAAAGGGCAGCAGCTCCCCTGGGTGGCAGCAGGTGCCCCAGGTCTCAGTCTGCCGAGACCGGCCTGTGGCTGCGGCTGTGGGCTGCGGGGTGGGGTGTGTTCTCTAGGTGCTCGGAGACCTTCTGGAAGGCCTGGCCAGCACCCAGCTGGGTGCAGTCACGCATGGACCAGACCAGGTATGAGGCACACTAGTAAGAGGGGGCCCTGCCCCCCTCCACCCCGACCCCAGTCACTGGCCATGAGGCAGGGAACTCTGGCTGGGCAGCCAGGGATTGGCATCTCGGTGGGCTGGGCTTCTCTGCTGGGCTCGGGTCGTCTGCCGTGGCTTCAAGCCCACATCTCCCCAGGGTCAGGTGGGGCAGGGGGTCCCGGCTATGGGCATGCCCCCTCCGAGCTCGGCCTGTACTGTGTGGCACAGCTGTGAGCTTCTGCATTTGGCCTTGAGGCTGCCAGCCCAGGACTGTGGGGAGTGGGATCCTCCACCCAGGCCCAGGAGAGCTCCTAGCCGCCTGCTGCCGAGCCCCTCCCCCCGGGCAGGTGGCCATGGCCCCGAGCAGCCCTCTGATGCCCAGGCCCACCCAGTGGCAGGAGCTGTAATGCTGCATCTGCCAGAGGCAGTTACTGCGCCCTGGGGCTCACCGGCATGCCACCCAGGGCTGGGCTGGGCCTCACAGGGCCCAGGGCAGTGGCTGAGTGGAGCTGGGGTGCACGGTGGGTGCAGCTCACCCTCTAGGCCCAGAGGGAGGGGACACCATCGTGGCTGCCGCCCCTGCCGCAGCCTCCCTGACAGTCCGTGCCCGCTCAGCGGTGCCCGGGGGGTTGGCGTGCACCCTGCTCTTCCTCTGCGGGTGGCAGCGTGGAAGGCTTCCTGCCTTTCATGTTCGGAGGGTGTGGGGTAGGGAGAGCAGGCCCAGAGGAAGGGGTGCTGTTGGCAGAAGTCGGGGGGCTGGCGCTGTGGGGTCTGGTGTGGGGTGGGGGCTACCAGGGCTGTCAGGCTGTGGGGCGGACGGGCGGGCGCGGGTCTTAGAGCCCCCATTGCCGCCCCGCCCCTCCCTCCCTCCCTACATTCCCCTTGCAGCCGCAGAGAGAACTCAGGCTGTGGGTGGGAAGGAGAGGTGTCAGGGAGGGCGGACTGGAGTCTCCGCGGTGGCCCTCCTGCCTTCTTCGGGAAGCGTGGGAGGGAGTAGGGTTCAGCAGGTGCCCCAGGTCTCAGTCTGCCGAGACCGGCCTGTGGCTGCGGCTGTGGGCTGCGGGGTGGGGTGTGTTCTCTAGGTGCTCGGAGACCTTCTGGAAGGCCTGGCCAGCACCCAGCTGGGTGCAGTCACGCATGGACCAGACCAGGTATGAGGCACACTAGTAAGAGGGGGCCCTGCCCCCCTCCACCCCGACCCCAGTCACTGGCCATGAGGCAGGGAACTCTGGCTGGGCAGCCAGGGATTGGCATCTCGGTGGGCTGGGCTTCTCTGCTGGGCTCGGGTCGTCTGCCGTGGCTTCAAGCCCACATCTCCCCAGGGTCAGGTGGGGCAGGGGGTCCCGGCTATGGGCATGCCCCCTCCGAGCTCGGCCTGTACTGTGTGGCACAGCTGTGAGCTTCTGCATTTGGCCTTGAGGCTGCCAGCCCAGGACTGTGGGGAGTGGGATCCTCCACCCAGGCCCAGGAGAGCTCCTAGCCGCCTGCTGCCGAGCCCCTCCCCCCGGGCAGGTGGCCATGGCCCCGAGCAGCCCTCTGATGCCCAGGCCCACCCAGTGGCAGGAGCTGTAATGCTGCATCTGCCAGAGGCAGTTACTGCGCCCTGGGGCTCACCGGCATGCCACCCAGGGCTGGGCTGGGCCTCACAGGGCCCAGGGCAGTGGCTGAGTGGAGCTGGGGTGCACGGTGGGTGCAGCTCACCCTCTAGGCCCAGAGGGAGGGGACACCATCGTGGCTGCCGCCCCTGCCGCAGCCTCCCTGACAGTCCGTGCCCGCTCAGCGGTGCCCGGGGGGTTGGCGTGCACCCTGCTCTTCCTCTGCGGGTGGCAGCGTGGAAGGCTTCCTGCCTTTCATGTTCGGAGGGTGTGGGGTAGGGAGAGCAGGCCCAGAGGAAGGGGTGCTGTTGGCAGAAGTCGGGGGGCTGGCGCTGTGGGGTCTGGTGTGGGGTGGGGGCTACCAGGGCTGTCAGGCTGTGGGGCGGACGGGCGGGCGCGGGTCTTAGAGCCCCCATTGCCGCCCCGCCCCTCCCTCCCTCCCTGCATTCCCCTTGCAGCCGCAGAGAGAACTCAGGCTGTGGGTGGGAAGGAGAGGTGTCAGGGAGGGCGGACTGGAGTCTCCGCGGTGGCCCTCCTGCCTTCTTCGGGAAGCGTGGGAGGGAGTAGGGTCGGCCCGCCCCACCGTGAGGGGAAACCGGCCAAAGCGGCCGAGAGCCTGGGTGAGGGCGGCAGGACCACCTCCGGCCCTCGTGGGTGTTGCTGTGCCTGCATCAAGGCTGCCCGGAGCGGCCATCATCAGCCTCTGGGGTGGTTTGACTAAACTGCAACTTGTTACCAGCATTTAAATTGAAGCTCTCATAGGAAAGTTCAGGTTTCCATCTTGTCCTGGAAATCTCCCCTCCGTTCCCAATGCCCGGCCCAGCCCTGCTGGGTAGCTGGAGAGGCCAAGAGGGCATGGCCCCACTCACCCCAGCACCTGCCAGCCTGGGCGGAGAGCTTCAGGGAAGGGACCCGTTGTCAGGAGACAGATTGCTGTAGCTTCTGTATTTTTCTATTACACGCACATGTGACCTGTTGGGAATCTGACTGGATAAAAGATGTGGTTACTTCAGGGGCCCCTAGCAGAGCAGGTGCAGGCTGGGCAGAAAGGATGCTGGAGAGACAGCAGGCTGGATGGGTGCAGAAAAAGTGGGGGAAGTGGTAGGAGGGAGTGGGGTGGGGGCGTGACAGATGTGACCTGCAGGCCAGTGATAGCCACTGAGATCGCCTGGGGCCCAGTGGAGGAGAGAGGCCATGGGGGTCCCGAGACCACAATGCCAACAGTGCGTGCTGCTCTGATGGGGCCTGACAAGAACCCCTTGCAGACCCCAGTCCACTTTCTCCTGTCGGCACTGCACCCCCGCCTTGGCTGGTGAGGGTGGGTGCCCGGCCAAGTCAGAGCACTGCCAGTCCCTCGGAGTGCAGTCTGCCCACATGTGGCAGGGTACTGCTGTCGGACATGTGTCCCACCAGGGCCCTACATCCACTGATGGTGCAGCCTGGCTGAGGCCGCCACGCTTTGCTTTCTCTAGGTTGAGGCCGATGATGTCAACGCAGCTAGCTAAGAAGGCAGCCGTGGGAGAGGTGCGTTGTATGGACACAGCAGTGGGTGGGGCCCAGATGCTGCCTCTGAGCCTCTCCAGGGTGTCCGCACACGGGCAGAGGAGTCCTGAGGTCCAAGGGTGGCAGGGGGAGAAGTCTCTGGGAGCGGGTCTGCTGTTTGTGGGGCCTGAGAGAGCCCAAGCCCACCAGGGTGCCCGTGAGCCAAACTCCCTCCAGCTGGGGCCTCAGGCCAGCCTGTGGGGCGGTCTGTCCCCACCCTGGCCTCTCAGGACCCTGGGCCTTCCTGAGAGCCTCTGCGTGGGAAGCAAGCCCAGGCCTGGGGGTCCAGCCCGGCCTGTGCTCAGCCGTCTCTGCGTGTGAGCCACAGCCTTTCTTGGGGCCACGCCCTCCCAGACAGGCTCAGGAAGGAGCTTCTCTCCTGATCACCAGGTCCTGGCGTGGCCCAGGGAACGGAAGGGCGGAGCAGGGAGTGAGGGTTCCCCAGAGTCCCCAGGGCGGCTGCAGGTGCAGGCCTGGGGGCAGAGAGGTGGGTGGTTGGGGTGGCCTGAAGAGGAGCGGCCCCCGTGGCTGGGCAGGCTCGGGGGCGAGGGACCCGGGGCACACGCGCTGGCCGCTCCTGAAGGGTGCAGGTCTCCCTGTTGTGGGGCCACCACACTCAGCTCCTCAGCTGCCCCAGATCCTGCCCGTCCCGCACAGGCCACGCTCCCGGGCGCCCCGGCCCTGGGCGCCCAGCCCGTCAGGCCTGCCGTGGTGGTGGAGAGCGGGCCCGTGTCGTACCATCCCGAGGAGGACGCTGACGAGGAGGACGCCGACGAGGAGGACGGGGAGCCCTGTGTCAGTGCCCTGCGGATGCTGGGCAGCAATGGTGAGGGGCTGCGGGGGTGCGGGGCCTCCTGCCCAGCCGACTCAGGCCTGCTGGCCTCAAACTGAACACATCCCTGGAAGGATATTGGAAGCAAGACGCTTTACGAATGGGCCGTGTTGGCTTTGAGGCCCTCAAATGTGTGGGGAGGGCTGCCCGGCCAGCAGGAATAGGGTGCCCACCACCACACTGCCCGCACACCAGGCCGTCAGCACCACAGACCTGCCCAGATGGAGAGGCCGTGCTGGCCCCCATAGAGGCTGGCGGGCGGAAGGCCTAGGGCGCCACTCCCGGGGTGGAGCTGGGGCCAGGCGGCGTCCGGCGTCTGCCACTGTCCATTGTGCTTCACAGATTACGGCTGTGATGGCGACGATGACGACGGCTACTGAACTGCAGCCTGGTGGCCAGCGGCCTGGCAGCGGACTCTGCCTAGACTCGTGAGGCATCAGGCGGGCCTTTGGGCTGAGACATGGTGACAGACAGGCACTGCCCCTGGCCCCCACCCCGCTGCAGCCATCATCCGCTGCCAGATGTGGCCTCCATGGCCTTGCTGTCAGGACCAGGTTCTGTGCAACGTGAGGAGTGTTCTGGCCTGGCAAGGGGACAGCCTGGGTGTCGGCACGGCACCATCAGAGAGACACTGTTTCCTGCCTAAGGAAACTGGCACGGGGCTGCCAATGGCTTGTTGGAGGGCTGGGGGCTCCCAGGGCCCCACTCTTGGCCCCCGCTGGATCTGGTGCCCTGTCCCCCTCTTCCCACTGAAGCTGAAATACTGTCTGCATCCGGCCTCCCGCTCAGCTGGTGCAGAGCTGGTCCTGGGCCTCCAGCCAGCTGGCCCAGGGTTTGGGTTAGTCTGGCCATCTGCGACCAATTGACTCTGCTGCACCTGCGCACGCAGCCACCCCAGTGACGCCCGTGTGGCCAGTCCCTGTGCACAGAGCCAGGGCCAAAGCTGGAGGTGGGCAGAGAACTGTGGGTGCTTCTGGCCTGAGCTGGGGTCCAGCCCAGCATCCATACAGGGTCGGCAGGCAGTGGACCCCTGAGCCCAGCTGCCCTGCTCTGGGTGGCTCCTGCCATCCTGAAACAGCCCTGGGGCCTGGGCCTGGGCATTGGGAGGCCCATGGGCCACTGTCAGGGTCTTAGCTCGGGCATCACTGCCCTGGACCTACCAAGGGCAACAGGCTCTGACCTTGGCCACCCCCACCGCCTGCCTCCCACGACAGCAGAGCCACGCCACACTATCTTCCTGGGCCCAGCCTGTGGGCTCCCGGGGTGGGCTCCCCACCACCCCCAGATTGCAGTGGAATTTGCAGGCAGGGAGTTTCGGGCTGTTTGCCTCCACAATCTGTAGCCAGCCTTGACCCTGGAGTTCCTGGGAGGCTTGGGATGAGGGTCGTTTTAGTCAAATGGAGAGAAAGATCTGTTAGTGGAAACCCACCGAGGCTGTGGTCTGTGATTCCGTGTCTGGCTCTGAGGCCGCCCTGGAGGAGTGAGGTCACAGCCAGAGTCCTGGGCTCGGGGTGCAGTGGGCAGGCTGGACTATAGCCTGCCATCCACCCACCACCTACCTGTGCTTGCGTCAGGGTGGGCACAGCGGGAGCAGGTGCTGGGCTGGGCAGAAGGCTCGGCTGTGGGGAAGGTGAAGGGCCTGCCTCCCGGTGGGCAGCTGGGGGTGTGGGGGAGCCCTGGCTGTGCCTCCCCTGGGATCCTAGGAGAGAAGGGGGTTTCTAGGCCAGGAGGGTGGAAGGCCCCCACCCCCAAGAGCTTGCTCTTCAGAGGGCCCCCGAGTTGGGGAGGAGGGGGCATGCCTCCCAGGATCTCAGCAGCTGAGGGTGGGGAGAGGTGCCGGGGTGGCCAGCAGGGCTGAGACCCAGAGGTCAGCTAAGTGCCACCCCCTGCCACCCGCCACGTGCTTCGTCCATTTCTAGGTCCTCACACTGGGAAAGGGGCCCAAGGGAGGCTGGGGGCCAGTGAGCAGGGGTGGCACCTGGTGAAGCAGGAAGCCCCAGGCTAGCTGGGCAGGAGTCGGGCATCTGGGAACAGGGAGGACTGAGGTGGGCTTGTCCCCTAAGGGTGAGGTAAGGTGCACTCAGCAGCAGGGTCCCGGGGCAGCAGGGACCTGCACCATGTGGACACACAGGTGGTGGTGCCAGGCCCCGGGAGAGCCGTTCCATCTCACCCTTGGGCCAGGGGCCAGGAGAAGGCATGGCCTCTGGCCCTCCCCATGCTTCCTGCATCCACCAGCTCAGGGCTGGCCTCTCCTGGGGCCTAGGACCTGGGGCCTGGGACCAGGAGTGGGGGTCATGGCGGTCTCACTGGCCCAGGTCTGGGCCGCCCACTCTGGTGTTGGAGCTGGGCCCTGGGTGGGGGCAGAGTGCTCCTCACCTCCAGAGCTGGGGGCCGGCCCGCAGACTGGCCCAGCAGGCACGCCGCAGCAGGTGTGGGCGGCGGGGGCGCCTGTCAGAGGGACGAGTTGCTCAGGGATGGGCGAGCACATTGCAGAAGGGGCCGGGTCCTCGCTCCCACCCCACTCCTTGGCCCCCCACCTGTCCAGCACAGTCTGGAGCAGGGCCTGGCTGTCCCCTGGTGGCTACTGTGACAGGGCCTCAAGGGGGGACAGGCAGGCCCACCCTGACTTCCCGCCCCCAGACCGCAGCTGGGTCCCACTGAGGCCACAGAGATGGTGGCCCCACACCCCAGGGACATCCCACTTCTGAATGAAAGAGCGGACCCTGCGGGGTCTGCCTTGCTCTCCAAACTGCTTCCAAGCCCCTAGCGCGGTGTCCTGTCGTTACAGGCCAGACTGCTGCTCCAGGGCCGCTCTGACCAAGGGACCCCCAGCTCTGGCATGGCTCCCACCCTGAATGAGGTGTTTAGGGCTTGCTGTCCCCCACATACCACCCCATTCTTACCTGGGTCTGAGGACCCCGGCACCCTGTAAGATGGTGCAGACTGTGCAAAAAACAACCTACACCCAAGCCCTGGGTGCAAGGTGGACCTCGAGGATTCCTGAGCCCCTCAGGCTCACCGTGCCCTCCTGCCATGCTACCCAGGCCTCTCCACTTACAGCCACTGTGCCCCAGCAGACCACACCTTAGCTGCTTGGAGCCCTTGGCCGTGCCCTGCCCTACAGGAGGGGCCCAACTGTTGCAGCCACACGCCTGAGCAGCAGGGGGCGTCCCAGACTGGCTGGACTTGGAGGGGAGGACTTGACAGGGCAGTGCACTCAGCTCTGGGGCAGCCCCTCCACCTGTCCTGTCCTGCAGGAGGGGCCCTAGGCCCCCTGCCCCCAGCCCAGATGTGCCTGCCAGCACCCATCCAGGCCCCAAGCTGCCACTTGAGCAGAACATTCAGCCCCCTGCATGTGAACATTGGCCACCTGGGGGACACCAAGGGGACCATTGGTCCTGTGGGGAGGGGTTCCTGGGGCAGGGCCACCAGGCTGGCCATCCAGCTCTGACGCTACTTGGGGGCCGGGCCTGTGTATGGTGGCAATTCCTCTGACTGGGCAGCGCCTGGCTGCACTGGCCGGCGCCTACGTGCTTGGAGGGTGGGCCCATCCCTGGGAAGCCCTGAGCCTGGGCCCAGGCCAGGCTGGTAGGGGTGGGGGCTGAGGCACCGGCTGACAGCCAGGCCCTTCAAAGGGCCTGTGGGTGGTGCAGAGTGGAGGCTCTTTATGGTTTTCCTGCCAGGAGAGGAACCTGCCTCAGGAAGCCATTGTCCCCACACAATGGGCCTTGGAGGGCAGGGGCTCCAGATTGGTGAGACCTGACCCTGACCTTGACCTTGACCCTGAGCCACTACTGATAGTCCACAGTACCTCTCACTGCCACCCCACCAGCTCTGGCCATGCCTGTGGATGGCTGTTCCCATTTGAGGGTCAAGGTACCAGGGAGGGGCCGTGATGACACTCCTGGGGCACCCCAGGGGACTGATGGGGGAGGCACCCTGCAGCCCAGGCCAGCTTGCCAGTGGCCCGCAAGGATCTGAGTAGAGGGTTTGGGAGGGGTGGGTCACTGTCCATTACAGGGGTAGATTATTGAGGCCGAGGAGACTTGGCTGGCTTCCAGAAGGCCCTCACTGGACCAGAGGCAGTGCCACTCTGCCAGACAACGTGGGAACTGCCCTGTCCTGGGCAGCAAGGAGCTTTTGCACCAGCTGGACTGAGCAATTGCTTCCCCCAGGTGGAGGTCACAGCACATTAAGGACATATTCTGCCAGGTGTCCACCTTGTTTCAGCGGGATGCCTGCTGTGGCACCTGCCCCAAGCCTCACCAGCAGCCTGGAGCTGAGCTGGCTGCTGGGGTCCACCCCTCGGGTGGAAAGCCACAAGCCCTCAAAGGCCAGACTTTGGCGGGGCCTAGGGTGTCCAGGCAGAGACTGACTGCAGGTGGTGGCAAAGGGAGGTGGGCGCTCTGGGCCAGGAGGTTCAGCTGGGATCAGCCCCTGTGCACACACAGCCTTGCCTGGGCCCCATGTAGATGCATGTGCACATGGACACCCTCAGATGCACACAGAGACCTCTTCACACGTGCACGGAGTTGTGTGCACACCATGTCAATGATGGGGAAGTAGAAATGTTAAGTTTATGTCTGTCCATCCCCTTCAGGTCTCCCTGAGGTTTCCCCTCCTCGCAAAGCCCCTTACTAAAACATTCCTTCCAACAATACATAGGACTTTAGGGTATGTATTCCCCATTCATTGGTTCTTGGGTTTGTTTGCTCAGCAAATATTGGAAAGGCCTCACGGTGAAGTGCTTACTGAGGTTGGCCAGGGACACAGCAGGGAGGGAACATGCCCCTGTGCTGGGGGTGTCCAGGAGGCAGGGATGGGTGGGGAGCAGTGCTGCAGCAGGCCTTGGGGAGTGGGGGTCAGGTGGCCACAGGAGGGAGGGGAAGCCCAGCGGGTCGGCCCGGGTAGTCCTGTGGCTGGCTATCTGCAGGGCTGTCGGGGATGGAGGCCTATTGGGTGGGGGGATGACAGGCTGAGCTGGTTGGAAATTCAAGGCCCTCTCCACACACCCTGAGCCAACCCCGGGCTGCTACCCAGAGACTGATTCCAAACCGTCACTGACCCTGGCCTGGGAGCATGAACGTTGGGAGGAGCGTGGTGGTCGCTTGGCCCAGGACACGGCTCAGAGGAGAACCTGAGCACATGCATGGCAAGGGGCGCACACCAGCTCCGCTTGCAGGGAGGAGCCGCTTGGTCTGGCCAGCAGGGGGCGCTGCAGGATGGCCAGGTGGGCCTGAGGGGGACGGGAGCCTCAGACCGCGAGTGCTCTGTGAGGACCCCTGTGCAGGTTTTGTGTCCATGCGTGGGGAGGCCGGTGCCACCAGGAGTCTACTGTAGGAGTGGGGGGGCACTTCTCCTTTGGGAAGGGACCACCCCCAAACTAATCCCTTTGCCATTTCACCTGCCCCAGGGGGGTCTCCGTACAGAGGGGCATCTTGCATGGTCAGACTAAGGTGAACCTCCCTCAGCCCTCTGCACCCTCTCAGCTTTGGTTCCTGTCCTTAACTGCGCAGTGTCCCCAGGTGCGCTGGGCACGGCGTGCAAGGTGGAGAGGAAGAAGGTGGGTTTTGCCAGGTAGGGTCAGTAAAGCTCAGAAACAAGTTCTGTGAGTAGTGACATCTTTTGGGGGCCCCAGGGTGGGAGGGGTGTAGGGCTCAGGCTAGGAAGGCTTCCTGGAGGAGGAAGGGTCCAATGCTAGGACCTGAAGGAGGAGGAGGAGCTTGTTAGGTTGCGATGGGGCACAGAACAGGCAGGTGAGCCCCTGACCTGGGGTTGGGTGGCAAAGGGCATACAAGGGTTAGGGAGGGGAAGAGGCAGAGAAGACTGAAGGAGGGAGGGACCCGGGTCCCCGTGCTTCTTGCAGAGCGGAGGCACAGCAGAGCCTGTAGCTGGGGAGCAAGCATGCGGTGTAGGGAGCAGAGGAAATGCTATTCTCAGCCTTCTGGGTCCTGCACCTGGCTGCCCATACTGCTGGCTGTGGGAACTGGGTACTGGGGAGCAAACAGCTGGGGATGCCCCAGCCCTGCTGGCTGTGGGGTGGGGGAAGCGGAGGGCTTCCTGCAGGCAGTGCCAGACCCTAAAAGGGGAAGATGCTGGTGGGTGGAGATGGCGGAAGGCAGGGTGCGGCTCCTGGGAAGGGCGGCTAGAGCGGCCCTGCCAACAGGCTCAGGCTGGGGTGCGGGCAGGGCAGGCGTGAGCCAGGGCATCCCCAGGCCCAGCTCTCGGCGAGTCGTCGCTGACCCGGCATCCTGGCGCCTTGGGAGCCCAGGCCAAGCTGGCCGCAGGAAGCAGTAGGGCTGATAAAGGGCCACCCACTTCCTGCGGCCTGAGCAGCAGAACCTGGCGTGTGTCGGACATCTGCAGTCTGGCCTGGATTGCCCATGAAACAACGCACGTGTGACCCCTAGCCACCTGGCGGTGCCTGCATGGGGCTGAGCGTGAGAGTCATGGTGTGCCGGGGGTCCCCCGGCAGCCACTGGCAGGAGAGCTGCGGTTCTCAGGCTTCAGGCCAAGTGGCAGAGCAGAGAGGGTGGTCAGGGCAAGGACACAGTGAGGGCCCAGTCGGGGTGGAAGGCAGCGTGGCAAGCAGGCTAAAGTGGGTGTGTGTCCACCTGCCGAGGCCCCAGAGGGGTCACGACTGCCTCAGTTACTCAGGAGATGGGGTGCTCACAGCATGTGCAAGGGGAAGGGGGCCCCTGGCTCCTTGGAGGACATGAGCGTAGACCACGGGGTGGCAGTGTGAGCACCCCCAGCACCTTACTGAAGCTCCCTGAGCTGTGTGGGCAGCCCCCCAGTGACTGCAGCCCTTCTGCACCCCAAGACTTCTCATGCCCACAGCCACACCTGCCAGCCTACCAGCAAGACTGTGCTCACCACCACCACCACCCAGGGTCGGTAGCACTACCAGGGCCACCCCCACCCAGCCCCTGGGCCATGGCAGTCACCACATGTCTGCTGGGGCTGGCCTCCAACCACCATCTTCACAGTCACTGCCCACTTGTGGAGGGGTAGTGGGCAGACCAGGCCCAAGAGATGGCCGGTCCAGGGTGGCACCACCCCATCCTGGTGGAGGCCCTGCCCACGGCAGGGTGCCCTCTAGCCCCTGTGCCAGCTGCGCTCCTGGACCCCTGGACCCAGCCTGTGTGAGGGCTACTCTCTGCTCCGTTGGGTTTGTCCTCCCCCTGCTCCCCTGGCACACCCAACACTAGTGTTGCCTCCTCCAGGAAGCCTCTCTCTCAGTCCCCAAAGGTCTGAGCCCTTTCCTGGGCCCTGTGAGTGTCCCTCTGCCACCTGTATCATTCCCGTCGGTCGGGGGAGGCTCCCACCAGCCCAGGGGCTTGTTGAGTAGGGGGCCTGCTGGCTGGTGCAGGCAATGCCAGGAGATGGCAAAACTGTAGGCTGGATAGATGGAACAGGGGGCTGCTGTGGGCCTAAGCCCTCAACTCCTGCCAGGCCCCTGCCCTGCCTGGGGCCACCTCATTCTGCCGAGAAAGAGAGCCTGCCTCAGTCCCTCCAAACCTCTAGGTCTTGTCCCCTGTCGGCCCCTCCCTCACCCCGTGACTTGCTAATCTGGGGTGGCCAGGTGCTGGGCTTCTTCTGAAAGAAGTTGGGACCACACTCCGCCCCTGCCTTTTTCCCTGATAACATTTCTGTGCCTGCCTCCCTCACAAAGCCTTCCAGACTAGGGGTGCGAATGTGGGTGCACCTGGGCCCTCCAGAGCCTGCAGAGCTGGCTCCTGACCTCAGCTCCACGGCGTGGGCCTGGGCAGGACCGTGCCTCCTCTCCTAGAGGGCTCTCAGCGCCTGGCCTCCACACACAGCTGCCCATGTTCACCGCTGTGTCCAGGGTCCTCAGGAGGGGTAGTCCCAAGGCAGGGTGTCCCGGGGAAATACGGCCCTGTGTGCCTCCAGGAACCCCCTCCGAAGCTGCCTGGCCAAGCCTGCCTGCAGATTCCAGAGAGGAGTTTCCCCGCTGCCCTCCCGCTGGCCCTGCGCGCAAGGCCCCGTGCAAGCTGACCTTCCCCCAGGCCAGGCGTGAGGCTCAGTTGCCCCTGGGGCACAGCAAACCCCGGAGAAAGGCAGAGGTTGCCGGGCATTGCCCTTCAGGTTTGTCTACCCAAAAAGGCGCAGGAAGCGCAGCAAGGTGCCGCCGTGTCCCAGCATTGGGACCTCTGATGCTTTTCTGGAGAAACACCAAACACCCCGCGGTCTCCAAGGCGCGGATTCATTCGCCGGCGGAGGGGCGCTGCGTGCGGCCAGCGCTCTAGCACTGCCAAGGAAGCGTGCGCGCCGGGCAGGCGGGGGACGGGGCCACGCGCGGGGCGGGGCCGCTCCCAAGTGAGCTCCGGATTGGTGCCCGAGCGGCCTGCGTCAGCGCGCCGGCTCCCTATTGGCCCCCAGCCCGAGGGGCGGGGCCGCCGCCAGCCCGGAGTTCCCGGCGCGGGTCCCGGAGCTCATGGAGCCCACGTAGGCCCGGCGGCGAGGTGGCCGCGACAGGGCCGTGCCAGGCCGGAGCGGGCGTCCGCCCCCGCGCCGGGTGCCGCGGAGCAGGGTCTTATCAGCGCGGGCAGCTGGCGGCCTGTCCGTTCGCGAGCGCCCCGGCCCAATTCAATGGCCATTGTCCGCCGGTCCCTTTGTTCAGGAGGCGGCCACTTCCTGCGGGGCTGGGCTGGGGCGGGCCGGCAGGAAACGCTCCGAGCCGGGGCCGCCCCGGCCGGGTCAGAGGCGACGGCCACCTGCCCGGGGGCGCCCCTGGCCCTCACGAAGGGGGTCTCGGTCTGCTGGTCTGCAGGAGGGGGGTGGCCAGAATGTCCCCTCCTGGGGAAGGACAGCGGGGACTGGCGCACGAAGTCAGATCTGTGGAGCCGACGGAGGGTCTGGGGAAGGCGGAGGAGCATCCTCAGCTAGGGGCGCCCCCCAGCCTGCTCTCTCCCCCTGATCCGTGGAAGGGGAGACAGGCTCGAAGAGGAAGAACAGCACGAGTCAGGACGCAAATCACAGCAGGTGGAAAGCCAAGCCCCACTGCCTCCCTGCAGGAGGAGCCCACCCGGGACGCCAGGCCGGAAGCAGGACCGCGGCCCAGGAGGGGAGAGGGAACGGCCCAGGCGCTCCCCCACCAGGGGCCAGGCCTCGCGACCCCGCTTCCCCTGGGCTCGGCCACGCGGTCCTGCGCACCGTGGACAGGCATCTCCTTGGCCCTCGCCAACCTGTGTCCTGTGCTCCGAGTGCCCACTCGCTGGGCCCTGTGTGGCTGCCAGCAGCACTCTGGTTGGCTGGGCCTCAGTCACATGCTCACCCTCAGCAGGGAGTGGGCTCCGTGGACTGGTGGGCGATGGGAACAGCCCTGGCACCACAACTCCCCCGTCTTGGGCCAGCCAGTTGAGGCTCATCCGTCCTAACCTCGCCTGCCCTCCCACCCATGAGGCATGGACCTCCCACCTCCAGCCTCCAGCCCACCCCTCTCCCCAGTGCCCTGAGATCTCCTGCAGGTCCTTCTGAAGACCCCCGTATGGCCCACCCTGCAAAGCCCTCCCTGACTCAATCCAACTCAACCAGAAAAATACACCACAGCTATTTAGGAGGGCAGAATTTGATACGAGGGGCCAGAAGCGAAGGGCTTGGGGGGACAGCTGGGCATCTGGGAGTCAAGTGCTGCAGGAGACTGAGTCTGAGGCCAGGTGGGGGCCACTCAGACCCCCCTGTGGCCGTGTCCCCGCAGAGCTGGGCTGCTGCTCGAGCCCCCTCTGTGGCCCTAGGCCCTTGTTTCATCTGTACTCCTTAGCTGAAATAGGGGGTTTGTGCAGATGAGACAGGGTGTCAGATGGAGAGCGCCCAACACAGCGCCAGAACTTAGTAGGCGCTTTACAAAGGGCAGCGAGCGTTACCTTTGGCACCCACCAGGGGAAGGGGGAGCTGTGCCACTCTGGTGCATTGGTCTGAGGAACTGTAGGCCACAAGGTCAAGAGGCACTGTGGGCAGAACTTGACCCCATCTGAGAGGCTGAGGCCAAGTAGGATCCGATGTGGAAGAGATCTGGTGGAAAGAGCGGGGAAGCAGCGAGGGGGGCAGGAGGGCTGGGGACAAGCCCAGACCCCACACAGCACACCTGCCCCCGGGAGAGCAGAAGGGAGGCGGGGGGACTGGTACGGGTCTTTGGTCACAGCTGGGAGCAGCTGGGGCAGCCAGGCCTCGGTGCCAACACCCCGCAATCCTGGGCACAGCTGTGCACCCACCAACTGGCTCTGCAGCCCAGGTCCGAGTGAAGCCCTGCCACGGGGCCTTGTGGTCCACTCACTAGTGTCAGGAATTCCTGAGAGGAGCCATGTGGCCCCAAGGCGGGGCGATCAGCCCCATCTCTGTGCTGTAGGGCCCCAAAGGAGAAGGGCAGGGAATGGAAGGAAGGTGGAGAGCTCAGGGTAGGGGGTGGTCCTACCTTGGTGGGTTCTGGCCTGGGAATAGCAGAGGCTTCAGGAGGTAGGAGAGTGGAAAGCTGGGGCCTTGCCAGGGAAGACCAGGAGGCCACTGGCCACGGGGATGAGCAGCAGGTAACTCCAGTTAGTGGCCAGGATGCAGAGCCCTTGGGCCCTGGGAACTATGGGAAGGCCGAAATACAGAGGTCAGGAGGTGCCTGAGGGGCCAAGAGCCTGCAGGACGCACTGGAAGGGCACAGTGGGGCGTCTGGGGCTCTCAGGCCCGGCGAACTGTCTGGAACCCCACTGCCGTGCACAGGGTGGATGGAGAAGCTCCGCTCCTTTATCAGGTTTCCCGGAACAACCCAGTGGGAGCCTGGGCCAGCGTCTGTCCTGGCTGCCCTGCGCTCAGCGGCGTGCTTGCCCCTCACCCCCAGCTGTGGCTCCCTCTCCCACACCCCCTGCCCCAGGCCCTGCCCTCACACCTCCTCTCCAGAAGGGGGAGACCCCCAGGACTCTCCTGCTACCTTTAGGGACTGTGCCCACTCTCTGAAAAGGTCAGATGTCCTCTGGCTCTGGGTCTGGCCACCTGGGCCACTCAGGACTACAAGCCACCCAGGACCTGCTGGTGGGCACCTGGCACGTTCAGCCTCAGCCCCTGCATGGTGGCCCTCAGCTGTCACCATTCAGCACCCCCACATCAGGGGTGTCCCCTGGCCCCCCCATCCACCTCATCCAGAATGTTGAAAGAGGCCCAGGTATTGCTGTCTCTACCTCTCCCTTGAACCTGCTCCCCCTACCCAGTACCTATGGTCTGCCCTCATCACGGACGCCACCCCTAGCCTCTCAGGAGCAGAGGCCTGCGTGTAGACCTGCCATCCCCTGAGAACCTCTCCTCACGTCCCCCTGGCTGGCTCCTGCACAGCTATCAGCACCACACCTGGGCGCCCTCCTCTGGGAAGCCCCCGCCAGCCCAGCCCTGGGACCACTGCCTGTCCAGCTCCAGGCCCTTTGCATATGTGCGAGCTGCCAAGGGTGGAGCTGCAGCAGGAGATGGCTGGTGGACCTTCACCAGCCCTGGGGCCACAGAGTGCCCGGGCTCTAGGGCACCCTGCCCTGGCAGACTAGACTAGAAGCCTCTCTGTAGGAGGTCTCCGTGTGAATCACCCCTCAGGCGGGCACAAACGCAGGAAACTGCCATTCTATGAGACTCTATTTTCTCCCTTGGAGGGGAAAATCTGTCACATGGAGGGCATTGTTCCCAGGCGTGTGCTTTCCGGGTGGGCTCGGTCTGCGATGGGGCTCGTGCGTTCCAGGGGCTCCTGGCTGAACTGTTTCCCTTCGAGACCCAAGGGCGCCTAGAGGTTGGGAATGTGGGGCCTCAGCCCAGCCACCAGCCCCGAGGCAACACTGGCCCACCCACAGGGTGCTGCGGGTCCCAGGATCCTGGTGCAGTGTTGGGGGCCTGAGTGCAGTCAGGCCTGGGGCTCAGCCTGCTCCCCACATGCTCCTGCCTGAGGAGGGCTCAGGGGCTGCCCCAGGCACTACCCCAGCTTTTGTTCCACATGCACCCACCCAATCCCCTTGGAGGTCTGGCAGGGGTACGGGGCCTGATGCTGCACTGCTGCCCCCTGCTCAGCTCAGCTCTGGCCTGCATGGCCACTCTGCCCTGGGTAGGCCCTACCACTGTTGATGGACACATTGGGCAAGGTGGCAAGTCCAGCCTATGCTGGACCCCTGGGGGCTATGGAGAGACGGGTGGCCCCCACATGACAGCCTGGGCTACTCTGTCCCACCACTGCCCTGTGGCCTAACATCAAGTCCTCTTAGGTATGTATGTGTGGTATCATGGGCTAAAGCGGCAGAGGTGTCCCCTACGGCTCAGCTCACCTGTACCTGCTGCTGTGAGCAACCTGAGCAGTAAGGTGAGGGGGCCCCCTCCCCAAATCCTGGGGCAACCCCCGTGAGGAGCCTGGACACCTGGAGGTTCAGGTGTGGGGCTGCACCAGCAGGAGCCCCAGAACCCAGGACCACTGAGCACTGAGCCCCACATTAGAGCTGGGATAGATGACAGGATGGAGGGGCTGAGGCTGGGCCCCAGGGAAGCCATGTAGGCTGGAGGGCAGGCGGGGCAGGGGATGAGGGGCACTGGGGGCTCAGGATGGGTGGAAAAATAGGGATCTGCTGTGTGTCAAGGCCATGTGGGCTCTGGTGGGGCAGGAAGAGGCCCCGCCCCCTTGCTCCAAGCGTGCCGGGTCCTGGCGAAGGGGCCTCCCTGAACAGGGAGGGACGAAGTGCCATCAGCCCCGTCCTCAGGGTGGGGGAACGTCAGCGTGGCTGAGTTTCCCAGAGAACAAACAGAGGAGCGTCTTTGGAGAGACAAAAGCTGAGGATTTGCCTAAATTAAAAACACAGGACTCTGCCTGTGTGGCAGGGGGTCCTCGGGGGGCACAGGGGACAGCGGACAGGGACAGTGCTCCTGTGGTTCACTCACGGGAACCCTCATCTCCCCTTCCGCAGGCTGCTCTGGGGTCACACGGACCCCCACTCCTTCGTCCTCGCCTCTGGCCCCGCCCTCCTGCCTCACCCACCCCCCCACACCTCCTCCAACCTGGTTGTTCGTTCCGAGTGAAGCCTGGGTATCACCTCATATTTCAGTTTGTATTTCTAGGAGATGGTTTCCTAGAATGCAACAAGGAGGCCATCGGCATCCTAGTGCCCAGTCAGGGTTCTCGTTCCCTGGATGGTCTAGGAAAATGTCTCAGGTCCGCGTGTCCTGACTGGTTGATGCGCCTCTTGAGTCTCTCTCTCCTCAGGTCGCTTCTCCTGTCTGAAGCAGCCTAGCCGTCTCACATTTCGCCCCCAGCCACATATCTGCTGTAGACCCGGAGTTGTGTGTGGGTGATTCTCACGTGTGGTGTTCTTCCGTCAGGAGGCACGTGGTCTCTAAATGGGCCATTTTAACCCCTTAAAAGTAGGACAAAGAGGGATACCAATACTTCAGAGATGAATAGTAGACCAAAAAAAAAAGGCAACTAAAAACGCAGCATCAGAAGATGGAAAGCAACAGACGGCCCCTGACCCCAGGACTGCAGTCAGAGGTGGGAACACCCCGACTCTCTGACGCTGACAGTCAAGCACCCACAGCAAAGGAGTGGGCAATTTAGGTAATGCAGAAAAACAGAAAGAGGCACACTCTTTTCTACTACAAATGGAACAGAACAGTCTTCAAATTGACATGTATTAGGTCCCAAAAGGGGCCTCGGAATGGCTTGAGAAGTGAGAGCCGCCACACTGGAAATAGACAGACAGTGAAGCAGTGCCCAGCAGGTGCTGGAGGAAAGTGATTTCCAACCCTGAATTCTCTACCCAGCCGAGCTATCATTCAAGCACGAGGTATGACAAAGACATTCTCAGACACACAAGGTGTTGAAATGTATCTTCCCTGAACTCCATCTCAAGAAGCTACCGGAGGACGTGCTCCATTAAAATGAGAGCGTAAACTGAGAAAGAGAAAGACCTGGCCAATGGACCCCAGGACCTGGGGGGCGTGAGTCCCCACAGGTTCCTGGAGGAAGATGTTTGCAAGGACGGCTGTGTTCCGTGTCGACCATCGGACCAGACAGCGCGACAGAGATGCGGCTTCCCCCAGAAGTGCCTGTTTTGACTGAACTTCACCTGTGCTCAAGGACTGGGAGATGGTCCCGGTGGGTACAGAAGCTCAAAGAGCACTCTGAGCCTTGCCAGATGCCTCGACTGGGGGGGCCTGGGTGTCCCCGGATAATTTGTGTCTCTGCTCACTGATGGCTCCAGAATGGCTCCTAGAAATTCTGAGAGAGGCTGAGGCCAGACCCGCGCCCCAGGGCCCTGCTCACTTCTCTTCTTGGAGGGCCTTCTGCTGAGCTGTCTGTCAAAACAAAAGAGAATGTAGTTCGGGGACACCTGCCAAGTGCTGGAGGCTTCACAAGAGCAAGGGGTCAGCGTGTCTAGAGGAAGGTCCTCCCGTGGGGGCAGACCCTGGCAGGCTCCAGGGTATCAGAAATAAGCTATTTCGATACCTGGTCCTTCAGGTCGATTTCACTATTATTTTTTAAACCATATAGCGAATTCATTTTTACCCTCTTCTGCATGTGTGACACGTTTCACATTTGTCTGTTTGAAAATCAGTGGTGCTCTTTAACCCTGAAAACTCAGCAGAATTCTGATGGAAAGTGGGTGGCACCACAGCAGTGATGAGCCAGCACGGGACCCGGGCCTGAGCCTGCAAAGGAGGCACATGGCCCGTGAGCAGGAGACGGCACAGGCGGACATCGTGGGATTCGTTCTGTCTGGGCTCCTGGGCAGCCTGGAGACACTGTGTGTCCCGGGCACTCTGCAGACCCAGTGCCACTGCAACTCCAGTTCAGGCTTGCTCTAACATTTGTAAGGACAAGTAAAGGTCAAGGTTAAGTTACTTTTGAAAAAAAAAAGAAAAAAGAAAAGGGGTGGACTTGTACAACCAGATACAAAGATGTGCCCGAAACGACAGCAATGAAGCAGGTGGTTCCGGCCCAGGAATCGGCAAGGACAGAGGCCCCAGAACAGGCCCTCTGCGGTCTGGGCTTCTCGGCAGAACCAGAACTCAGAGTGGAGCGGGCAGGCTGGTGGGCACCGCGTCTCGGCAGCTCAGGCCAAGGGCCTGATGGTTCCTCTCTGGAGACAGCTGCGGGCCTGGTGAGAAGACCCCCAGTCTGAGCCCTGGGGTCCTCCCAAAGGCACTGATAGTTAGCAGTGCGGACAACTTGTGCAGACAGCCCAGCCCCCGGACTGGCCGTCCTCGACCCCTGGACTAAAGGGGACACACACAGAGAGCCCGGACCAGGAACCCAAGTGTGACGCCCTCCAGGGATTGAGACACGGTGTCCAGGACACAGGGACATGGGCTGGGAGAGAGCAGGACAGGGAAAGGCGGGAACACAATGGTAGAAATTTGAGAAAGAACAGGTGGATTGAAAGATACCGTTCAGATGCTCCCCCGTAGGACCGCAGGACCAAGAGGTAGAAATAAGAGGAGAGCTGAGGAAATGGGGTGCTCAGCCTTGGAACCCAGCATCCCATGAACTTGAGTTCCCTGGGGAAGAGAACACAGAAGGGAGGGGAGCCACAGGATCAGAACCGGAGAGCCGCCATCGGCAGGGCACGCGGCTCCACATTGGGGGGCACTGCCTAGGGGCCAGGAAGCCAAGCAGAGATGAGCCCTTATGGGACTTCAAGACCCAGAGCCCTGCCAGGCCCCCACCAAGAGGCGCCGACTCTGCAGCCACATGACTCTAGAGGCGATGGGCAGCTTTGGTTCATGGTGAGAAGATGCTTTTTGGCCCAGAAGTAACCACCTGGTCAGACCTCTGTCAGAGGGGTGCTCGGGATATTTCTACCTCTTTCCTCAGAACTGTAGGACAATAAATCTATGCTGTTTCAAGCCATCGAGTTTGCCCTGGTTTGTTTTGGAGGCACTGGCTCCCGGGTCTCCGTATCTGCTCAGCCCACCTCACTCTGGCCCCACCATGTGCCACTGAACACAGCTCAACAGGGTCTCCAAAGCACCCACAGTCCTAAATCCAGAGGTGGCTATGGGAGGGGTCCCATGGCTTGGGCCCAAGGCCCCATGGACCCTCTTGGGGAGCAGCTCCTCTACCCAGGTTCCTCCTCATCCTGTGCCTGCTCCCCTGGGGTCCAAGATCACCCGTCAGTATGGCTGCCACCCTGAGTGATGGTCAAAGCCTCTCCAGCTGGTCTGCCCCTTGGCCAAGGCAGCCATAATGATCACCCCAGAGGCACAGCCGGTGCCCCCGCCTGGAACCTTCCATGGCCCTCAGGACCCCTGGGGGAAGCGCCAAGCACAGCCTGTGGCACCTATTCTTTTCCACAGGTCCTCCTCCTTTCTGTGGGTCCCTGACATCTCTGCGACTGTTACCGCCTTGCTTAGGCTGCCCCACAGCCCAGGCCCTCCTCCACACCTGGTGTACTTATTCTAGCCCTTCTGACTGTGCAGCCCCAGTTTCAAGTCACTGGCACACAGTAGGCCCTCCAGGAAAACAGCAAGACCCAGGCTTCTCCAGAAACTCACCCCTTGCTCCCACGCTGTCCCCAGGTCCATGGTATGTGGCATGGCCTGGTTCTGGCCTAAGAGGAAGGGCCCCAGCATGTGTGGGAGATGGGGCTGGGTAGCCATGGCCAGCATGGAGTGTTCCTGAACAGTCCCACTGATATATTTTTCCTTTTTAAAAATAATTGAACTGAAACTCACATAACATTAACCATTTTACCACGTACACTTTAGTGGCATTCATAATGTACAACCATGGCCTCTATCTAGTTCCAGAACATTTCCAACACCCCATAAAGAAGCCTTGTCCCCATTAGCGGTCTCTTGGCACTGTCTCCCCACTCCCTGGCAGCCCCTCATCTACTTCCCGCCCCTATGGACTTCCTGTTCTGGGTCTGTGGGTACGAGTGGACTCAGCCAATACATGGCTTCCTATGTCTGGCTTCTTTCATGCAGCATTACATTCAAGTTCATCCACACTGTAGCATGTCCGAATTTCACTCTTTTTATGGCTGAATGTTGTCCTACTGTGTGACTTGACCACATTCTGTTCATCAATTCATCTGTAGATGGCCACTCGGCTCCTCCACCTTTTGGCCATTATGAACATGCTGCTGGCACAAGAGTCTGTTGAAGTCCGTTTTCGATCCCTTGGGGGGGCACACCTAGGAATGGCCGTAGGGCATCTCTATGTTTAACTTTTCGAGGACCTTTTCCACAGGGGTGGCACCTTGCTGATATTCTGAAGGCACACGCTGTAATCCAGCCCTCAAGGCACCTCAGCTTGCATTAGTGTGAGGTTACTTTCTCCCAAACATGAGGGAATCTGTGTTCTGTGGAGAAGCTGCTGTGGCCCCGAAACTCCCAGCTGGGGCTTCCCAGGGCTGGGAGCAGGCAGCTCCACGGCCTCATTTCTCCGGTAGGAACTCCAGGGATGGCGTGCACCCCAGGGCCCTGCGTGTGTGGAGAAAGAGGCCCACCTGGCCATTGGCAGTGGGAGGCCAGCTTCTGGGATGGGCTCTGGTGGAGGTCCCTCTGGACCCCAGGTGGCCAGGCTAAGGCTGGGAAGCACAAACCCCTACAGAATTATGAGGTGGTGACGGCTAGTCTGTGGCGGCCCCTGTGAACCATGCCTCCCAGTGCCCGCTCCCCGGGAATCTGGGTGGCCTGACTTTCTTTCTGATCCACAGGCTGCGGTGGGAATGATGCTGCCTGACCCCCGCGGCTGGGTCATGAGAAGCTTGGTCTGTGGCGGTGTGCTGGACAGCTGGCTGCCACGGGAGAGCCCCAGCACTCCTCAAGACCACCATGCTGTGAGGAAGCCCAAGCAGCCACATGGAGAGGCCACAAACAGTGAGACGGCCAGGCAGGATGGCCCCTCCAGCAACCCACCTGAGGTGCCAGCCACAGGAAGCCACCCTGGACATGCAACCTTATTCAGCCTCCCCCAGATTTAAGCCCCAGCTGCCACAGGATCACAGCTGCAGAGAAACCCCAAAGGAGGGCCGCCCAGTTGAGCCAGGGCCATCCACGGACTGGGTTAGGAATGAATGGGTGCTGGAAGACACATTGTAGGGTGCTTTGTTACACAGCAATAGATAAGATACAAAGATGGAAGTCGATTTCAGGGCTATCAGGCCAACCCCACTGGGGCCTTCCCTTCTCCCCAGGGCCATAGTTCAGAGAGCAGGTGCAGAGCTCAGCAAGCCACCCCACCATTTTTCCATGCTCCCCGGGGAGGCAGTGGCCATACCTCCCATCGCCAGGCAGGGGCGCGGCAAGGAGCGGCTTCCTGGGAAAGGGAAGAGCAGCCTGCTCCCGAGGTGGAGCGCCGGGCCCCTCCCACGCGGGGCAGGTCGGGCGGTGGGCAGTCCGCCTAGGCCGGCCCCCCCGCCCCACTCGGGCTCCTCTCGCTTGCCCTCCGTCCGGGGCCTTCTCTCTTCCCGGCCACAAGGCTCCCTTGAGGTGTCGACACTCTCTCCACCATCCGCGCAGTGACCTCAGCGGCCTCTTTCTGGCTCTGCGGCGCCGCTGGGCAGCCATGACCGCCAACTTCCCTCTCCCCTGGAGTCCTGACCCCGCCCCTGGATGACGTATCTCGGGGTTGTGGCCACCCCCACCCCCACCCCCCGAGCCTGTACTCGGCTCGCCCACCCACAGCTGCACCGCGAAGCCCCCTCTCCCAACCATGAGGTCCCGGGTTCCCCGGGCACAGGCGATCGCTTCTCCTGCCCGTCCCCTCCAGCCAGGCCCGCCCCCACCGGCTCGCCCACTCGGCTGGCCCCAGCCCCGCAGCCGGGGTCCACCCGGCGGGCGCCCACCTGCGCGCCGACCCTTCAGGCTCTGCCCGCGCCCCGCCCCGCGCCCCGCGCCCCGCCCCGCGCGCACTGGGCATGCCCAGAAGCAGGCACGCGCCCTCCCGCTCCTGTCGGCCCCGAGCGCGCCCGCCTCTGCCCGGGCCGGCGGCCCTGCGCGCCGCCATGGAGCGCATAGAGGGGGCGGCCGTGGGCCGCTGCGCAGCCTCACCCTACCTACGGCCGCTCACGCTGCACTACCGCCAGGTGAGCCCGCGCGCCGCCCACGCCCGCCTTCCTTGGCCCTCCGGCGGCCCGGCGGCCCGGAGCCCCGGCCGTGACCCCGCCCGCCACCCGCAGCCCCGCCCACCGCACCCCTCCTGTCGCCCAGGCGAAGCTGGGTTCTGTTCGCCCGCAGGCTGGGGGGAGTCCCGGGGAAGGACACCTTAGGGGACCACTCAGCTGTCCAAGGACGCTTTGCTGGACCCCAGCTCTTCTGGCGGTGGGTGGTACTGGGCGCCTCCGGATCAGGGAAAGCTTCTTGGAGGTGGTCTCCGTTCTGGGCAGAGGAAGAAAAGGAACGGAGCTAGGAGCCCAGAGGGGAGGAGGCACGAGAGGGAGCTTGGGGAGCACTGGACAGACCTCCGGGGGGCTTCCTCCCAAGGGCCCATCCTCAGAGCCTCCACCTGCCAGGCCCCAGGAGCAGGCTGCCTCCCAGAGCATCACCTCGGGGAGTGGGACCCCTGCTCCCTCACTTGTTGTGCACACAGTAGGTCAGCAACAAGTATGTGGTGGGGGAAGAAGAACCAGCTCTGTCCGGTCGCACCCCCAGCTTGTGCGGCTCGCCTGCTGCCCCTGCTCCAGCCCTCACCTCCTACCAGAGTTCCTCCAAGCCCTGCCGGTGAGGACTGCCATCCTGCCCCCCGTCAGGACGGGTGGTTCAGGTCTGTGGTGTCCCTCTGCCCCACCTTCCCTGGGCCTGCCACATCCTGTCCCTCCTGTCCTCTCTAGGCCCCATCTCACTTTCCCTGTTGCTGTAGGCCTGTTGGTTCCAGGGAACAGGGAATTCCTATCACCTATCCCTGGAATGGACCCAAGTTGACAGTGCTGGCCTGGGGCAGAAGCAAGGGTCAGTTGAGGAACAGAGGTCACTGCCCTTCTCCCTGCTGTTGGCCTGGGCTGGGGATGCCTGCTTGTGACTGCACAGCCCCCAAGAGGGGGCACATGCCATAGTGGGTGTGTGCCTGGTTGGGCCTGTGGTCCACTCTGTCCCCTTCCCTCTGACGTGTTGCAGCCTTGGCCAGCCCCTACCCACACGTGTCCACTGATGGGTGCTGATCACCAGAGCTTAGCTGGTGTGGGTGGTGGGCTGTGCTGGGCACTGGCCAGGGGGCCAGGGCAGCATTCCCTCGGGCCACAGGACGTTAGGCTGAGTGGCCCACGCCAGGGAGGGACATCCACAGCCTTTGGGCATTAGATGCTCCTGGACAGACAGACAGACCAGGGCAGGGACCCCCTGTGGCTCTGAGGGGGAGGGGCTGTGTTCACACTCCATTCCTGGGGCCCTGGGAGGTGAGACAGGCCCAGGTCCTGACTAGCTGGGCCAGGGGTCCTGTGGGGGGTGCTGGCTGGGCTTCAATGGGCCTTTCTGGACCTTGCCATGCATCCCACCTTGGCTGGACCCAAGGATCTGACAAACGTTTTGATCTGGAGCCAAGAGGGTCCCTGAGATCTGTACAGGGTGATGCCCTGAAGGAACAAGAGCGCTGCTGGCACATGGCAGATGGGTGGGGGCTTCCCTGGAGCCTGTCTGGGTGGGTGGTTGGCCCCCAGGTGGCCAGACTGCAGGCAGGCCTGGGCTTGCCTCTCAGGGGTGGTGCCAGTGGCCTCCCAGGCAGCCCGACCTAGTGCCACAGGACAGGGCCCTCCCTTCCCCTTGGAGACCAAGGCCCCTCCACCACTCCAGGACACCTCTGTCTCCAGGCTGAGCTCAGACTGTGTTTCTCAACTCCCTCACACCGGCATGTGGGCTTCTGCCTGGAATGATGACCCTCCCTCGCTCCTCTGGGGTCTCGCATGGTATCACCTCCTCCAGGAAGTCCTCACAGGTGTCCCTTAATGGTCTCCGTCCTCTGCAGTCCCAGTTGTACTTCCTGTGTCTCTGTGCTCAGTCTCATGTCCCTTTCATGGCCTGGACTGAGCCCTATGGGTGGGGCACGTAGCTGGCCAGGGCCTCAGGGTGACCTAATGACCCGAAGGCAGATGGGCTGAGCAGGCAGCTCATAGGCAGCCCCAGGACAGGGCCCACCCCATCTGCAAAGTCCCCTTGGGGTCGGGCAGGGCCAGCTGGAGTGGCTTGTCTGCTCTGACCCCAAGGGTGGGAGGCTGTCTCTCCTAGCTGCCGCCAGTGGGCAGGGTTCTGGGCTCCTTACACCCCCTGCCTGCTGGAACCCTATTCATACCTGTTGTGGCTGCTCACAGCAGGCCCAGGCTCTGCTCCTCACCACCTCCATTTACTGAGTGCTGCCCAGCACCCTGGGAGCGCGGAAGGGTGTGGGGGGTGGAGGTGGGGAGGGTGGGGCTAGGGGTGGGGTCAGGGGGTGGGGAGAGAAGCGACAGAGCAGTGGAGCTGCACTATGTGTAGGGGACAGTCCAGGGCGGAGGCTGGGCTGGGGAGGGGCTGTCCCGCCACCATCATTGAACCACCGCCTCCTGCAGCGTGATCTCTGCCTAGCTGGGCGCCACGCTGCACCGGCTCCTCCAGCCGCCAGCCAGCGCAGGCCCAGGAGGCTGGCTGTGCCCCCGGCCCTCCCGTCTCCCATCGTCTGGAGGCCCGAGGGGGCTTGAGTGGTGGTAACCTGATCTCTGCTCTGCCCACTTGGGATGCTCCCTGCTGACTGTGAGGACATGTCATGTCTGCTCCCCCCGTGGCCCTTCCCATACCAGGTGACAGTGCACATCTTTGCAGCTCCTTGTGTTTAGCCCATGCCTGGTGGCAGCTCATGCTTTCCCACACTCTGGTTTTCTGCCTTGACCCTCAAGAGCGTCAGGCTCCCCATGACCTTCCTGCCCAGGCTGAACTGTTGTCCCCTCCCCTACCTGCTGCAGCTCCTGGCCTCTGATGGGCCCAGGCTGTGAGCCGGTCTCCCTGGAAGGATCTGGTGCAGCGGGTCTGCCTGGCCTGCTCAGCTCCTTGGAGCACGTCCACCCATGCTGGCCGCCCCTCAGCCCACCTGACCGCTGCCCTACCTCTTTCAGAATGGTATGCAGAAGTCATGGGACTTCATGAAGACACATGACAGGTGAGGGCCCAGCATGGGCTGGCCCCTGGGGAGGCCCAGATTGCTGCCCAGTGGAACATGGGCTGGGGGACACAGGGCCGCATGCCCACCCCTGCGTGGCCTGACCTCTGTTCCCTCCCACTCCTCTGAGGGGTCCGGCTGCCTGGATCTGGGCAGGTGCTCTGGGACCTGACAGCTGCCATCTGGGTGCCCTTGCCTTTGAGCATCAGGGGTTTGGGCTGGATGGCAACTGGGCTCCAGGAGTGGGGCTGGCAGGCAGCTGGCCAGCAGGGGCCACATGTCCTGTCAGTCACCAGGCCTCAGCTGCTGCCGCCCCCACCCTGCCCAGCTGCCTAATATGTTCCCCCACCCCCTGCCCCTGCCCTCCGAGCTAGAATACAGGAGGCCTGGGTCCTAGCCTGATGGTGTGACCCTGGCCAGCTCTGGCCCTGCTTGGCCTTAGATTGCCCATCTGAGCAGGGGGCTCAGTTTTCCCAAGCTGTTGGGAACAGGAGGATGGGAGCCAGGGCCGAGGGAGGGAGGCGAGTGGGTTGCTTCTGTGCTGAGCTCTGCCCCGTCGGCACAGTGTGACCGTTCTCATGTTCAACGCCTCTCAGCGGAGCCTGGTGCTGGTGAAGCAGTTCCGGCCAGGTGAGGCTGGCTAGAGTGGGCCGTGGTGGGAAGGGAGGTCTTCAGGTCACTTTTGGGCCCCTGTGTACCTAGGGTCAGAACGCAGATGGGGGCTTCAGGAGAAACTGAGGCCCAGGGAGGGGCATGTGGAGGTGGCCACCACACAGCTGTGACAGTGGCCTGCCACACCCCTCCCCCCCAGCTGTGTACATGGATGAGGTGGAGCGCCACTTTCCAGGGTCCCTGGCAGCTGTGGACCAGGACAGGCCCCGAGAGCTGCCAGCCGCCCTGCCCGGCTCAGCGGGGGTGACGTACGAGCTGTGCGCTGGCCTGGTGGACCAACCCGGGCTCTCACTGGAGGAGGTGGCCTGCAAGGAGGCCTGGGAGGAGTGTGGCTACCAGTTGGCCCCCTCTGACCTGCGGCGCGTCGCCACATACAAGTAAGTGAGGTGGGACCCCTGCCTGCGCGGCTGGGGAAAGGCATCCTGCCTGTCCGCGCTGCCCAGGGGACAGGACAGGCTGGGAGGCAGTGAGCACCTGGTCCCCAGGGCTGTGCAAGCAGGACGATTCCTCTCTGTTTTTCGGTGGGGCTTGGGGAAGGTTGGAAGAGCCTGTGGTCCAGGCTGGAACCTGGGGCTCTTGGGGCTGGTTCTGAAGCACGCTCGGCCCCGTGCCCACGCCCTGCATCCCCCAGCCGTGTGGGGCCCGCCCCTGACGGCAGCTGCTGCTGACAGACGCCTCTACTTCCTGTGGGATTAAGCTCCCGTGCTGGGGGTGGGGTGAGTCACCGATCTGCGTGGACAGCGGCTCAGGACTGGGGGGCAGGCTGAGTCCTGGTCCGGTGTCAGGGGCAGAGCCTCTAGCATGCCTGGGGAGGGGAAAGAGGTATGGCCTGAGCTAGACTTCCGGGCCTGCCCACCAAAGCCCAGGGGCCCCGCCCGGCCCACACTCCCATGAGACCTGCCCTGCCGCTGGGGCCAGCTTCGCAGGACTGGATGTTGGAGTGAAGCCCACCTATTCCCTGCCCCAGGGACACTGCCTTGGCTCCCCGGCCTGGTGAAGCCTGGGAGCAGGAGGTGGTCTCACAGTGTCCCCCTCCGTGCTGATACCCCGGAACCGTCTCCAGAGGCCTGGGGCCTGTTGCGCCTGGACAAGGGTCAGGGAGGCCTCCTCAGCCCACCACAGGGCCACTCAGTGTAGGCCCCTCCCTCGGCAGCCTAGAGCCTTGTTGGGGTGTCTCCTGGCCCGGGGTTGGACTGGACCTCCAGTCCTAGGAAGGAGATGAGCAGGGCCTGGAGCCTCCCTGCCGGACGCAGGATTCCCATGAGCCCACTGTCCTGGTGTGCGGGGCTGGCTCAGCTGTGGGTGCGCTCCTCGGTACTGCAGGTGGGGAGACTCCAAAGGGCCAGTGGGTGGGCCAGTGGGGTGGACACGCACGGAGGAAGGCAGGTGGGAGATGCCCTGGAGGGGCTGGGGTCCTCCGAGGAGCTGAGCCTGGGCAGAGTCCTGGCAGAGGGGTCACTCAGCAAAGGCTTGGGGCAAGGCAGCCGCAGTGGTTCCACAAACGGCCTCAGGGCTATGGCTTCATCCAGAGGGTGCTGGGGAGCCAAGAAGGGTTCTGGGCAGTGAGCAGCCTGCTCAGACATGCACTTTGGAAATGTGGCTGCAGGGAGGGCCTGGGGTGGCGGGGCTTGGGAGATCAGGACAGCTGAGCCTGTGGGCCTGATGGGGCTGGACAGTGGCAGAGCACCCGCTTCCTCTCCACAGTGCCACTCACCTGCCAGTCATAGGTGACAAGGCCCGGGCACTGAGATCACCCAGCTTAGGACGTGGCTGGGCACTCTTCTTGGCCCGGCCCCAGGCTGTGCCTGTCCCCTTCACAAGCTGGCAGAAACTGGGACTGGAAACCCCACAGACTGGCCGCCTCCACCAAAGGTGCTGGCTGTGGCTGCTAGCACAAGGGGGCTAGCAGGAGGGCTCCATGGGAGATAAGGAGCTGGAGGGTCGGGGAAGCTGCTGGGCGAGGTCAGTGTGGGTGGGCGCTCCCCTTACTGGGGTGAGGGATTAGGGGAAGGTGCGGAATGAGACCCCCTTTAATTCTCCCTGCCCCTGTGTGTTGGGCACATCTCCAAGGGCACCTTTTCCACCCTGCAGACCACTAGCTGGCCTCAGCTGACCTGGGGAGACCTAGGGTCCCTTATTGCCTGGACATGTCCAAAGACATGTCCTGCTTCCCCTCTCCCTTGAAAACCCATGCTTGACCCTTGCTCTCTGGTTCTGGAACCCAGTCTGGGGCACTGTGCTCTGCCTGGGTGCTTGTGCCCCTCCTGATGGTCATCAGCCCCCTCGGCCATGGCCCCCTGAGAGAAGGGACTCCCTCACGCCCCTCACTAGGACCAAAGGGCCTAGTGCTGGGGACCCTGCTGCCAGCCCACCCAGCCACCACCATGAGCACCTGGAACTGGCATCCTGCAGGTGCTGGTGTGGGTGGCGCTCATGGGCCCAGGCCACGTGGGCTGCTGGAGGTGTCCCTGCTTCCAGCCAGGCTGGAACCCTGGGGAAGGCCAACGTCCACCTTGGGGAAGGAGGTCCTGGCTGACAGTCCCCCCATGAGCAAAGGGGCAGTGGTCTGTGTGTGTGTGACAGAGCAACCTGCCGGAGACTTAATGGCTTCCGCCAGTCTGTGTTTATAACCTCACGATAGCTGTGGGTCAGCGGTCTGCTTATGGAGGGATGGGTCCTTCGTTCACGGTCACTCTAAGATGCATTCAGGGCACTGGCTGGGTTTGTGGTCTCAGCTGGGGCTCAGGGTCCTCTTCCCAGCTCAGGAGGTGGTGACAGGGTCCAGTTCTGTGCCCGTGTGCTTGAGGGCCCCATTTCCTGGCTGGCTTTTGGCTGGGGACTGCGGTTAGCTTCTCAAGGGCTCCTGCAGGCCCTGGCCACGTGGCTCCCTGACGGCATGGTGGCTTGCCTCATTTTCAAGGCTAGTAGGATGGCATCTCTCCTACTTCCCCCATCTCTGATCTCTCAGTCCTCACCAAAGAACTTGCCCGATTAGGTCATGCCCACATGAGATAATCTCTCCTTTGACGAGTTCAAAGTCAACAGATTAGGGTCCTTAATTTAACATCTGCAGAATCTCTCCATCTTTGTCATGTGACATGACCTAGTCATGCAAGTGATACCCAAATATCCCCAGGTTTTCCCCATACTTGAGCAGAGCGGAATACACGGGATGTGTACACCAGGGGTGGGTATCTGGGGGCGTTGGGGCAGGATATCCTGGCGCTCTGGCTACCAGAGGTCTGGGGGGAGTGGAGCAGAAAGGGCAGGGGTGGCCAGCTGGGCCTGTGTGGGTGGCTCAGCAGACACTGTCTCCATCCATAGGTCTGGTGTGGGACTGATGGGCTCCAACCAGACCATGTTCTACGCAGAGGTGACCAATGCCCAGCGAGGCGGTGCAGGCGGGGGCCTGGCAGAGGAGGGCGAGCTCATTGAGGTCGTGCACCTGCCCCTGGGTGATGCCCAGGCCTTCGCAGGTGACCCAGATATCCCCAAGACCCTTGGCGTCATCTTCGGCATCTCGTGGTTCTTCAGCTGTGTGGCTCCTGACCTGGGTCCCCACTGAGACTCCAGGGGGTCTGGACAGAGGCCCGTCCTGGCCACCCACCCTGTGACCCAATAAAGGCTTGTGGAGCTCTAGCTTGTGTCCACTGGCTCTGAGCTGGGAACGGGGTTGGGCTGGGGACAAGGGGTCTTCTCCAGATGGGCCCCAGGGGACGTCGGGCTGGCTGTGAGCCCTCAGCTCTACTAGAGCAGAATCTTCCTGTTGCCTGCAGTGTTCTGGCTGCCGTGGGGAGCCAGCAGCTGGCAGAGGGCACAGGCCAGGCCTTCAGTAGTGGCATAGACTACAGACCGTATGGGGGTCCGGCTGTGCTACCTGTCAGGGCAGAGAGGGAACTGGGCTTGGCCAGGCCTAGCGCTCAGGGAGGGCAGCAAGGAGGGCCCGGGGTTGGGCCTAGTGGCTACCTAGCCAAGGAATGAGTTGCTGCCGTGAGCCAGCCCTCATTTGGTGTGGGGGAGTGAGGGGTTGGGGGTGGGTGGGAATTGAAGGATGACTGTTCCTGCCCCTGGGGCAAGTGGGAGGTCCCTGAGGGGCTGGGCTGAAGCACCCTCCTCCAGGAGCCTGGAGCCAGATCCCCTCGGGCTGGTGCTGGTGTTCCCAAGTAGACCCTATATCTACCCTGGGCTGTGGGAGTTGGTGATGGGATGTCACTCTGCCTGTTGGCCTGTGTGTGGTGTGGCCTGCCAGCCCTGAGGGACTCCCTGCCCTGCACAGAGGCCTGTCCTGAGGGTCGGGAACTGCGTGAGCTGCCTTCTATGCCCCCTGAGTGCTTTGGCCCCATGAGGGCTCTGCACCTGCTCAACTGGACACCCAGCAAGGCCTCCATATATAACGGGTGGGCTGGAGCCCATTTTGGGGAGTGTGTGCCAATTGCCATGGGCTCCGCATTTGGGGCACTGCTGGGCCTTTAGTGTAGGATGGGGCTCAGCATAAACACTGGGGGGAAGCCTGACCCTTTCTGAGGGTAGGAACCTGGCTTGGCCCTTCCCCAAAGCCCCCCAACTCTCTGGTCACCCCTTGGGTGACCTCAGGACAGGCCGGGGCAGCCTGGGTCATGGCCTGCTGACTCTAGGGAAGGGTGCAGTGTCAGGGTGCTGCTCCCATCAGCAGGTGGGGACTGGTGAGCTGGAGTTTTGCTGCGACCTGCCCCAGTGCTCTGTGCCCCGGTGTCCCCGGGGACTGGGCGATGGGCCGGACTGGTGGAGGACACTGAGGCAGGACGCACTGCCTCTGGCTCTGGCTGAGACGGGGTCTGCCCTCCTGTGCTCCCACTGCCCTGGCTCAGGCTAATCCAGGCAGGTAGGCAGGTGCTTTTCCTAAGCATGCATCCAGGGGCCCCCATGTCCCTGCTTTCCTGCCAGCCAGGAGTCTCGTGGGGGAGTCCAGCTGCGAGTGACACAGTGCGGACAGCCCCCAGGCCTGGAATTCAAGGCCTCCTTGACAGAGGCTGTGCCTAAGGGGCCCACTCAAGCAGCACCATCTGTATGCAAATGCTCACCGTGACCCAGGTCGGGCCTCTTGGGAGCCCAGCCAGGTGAGTGACATGCTGCTGGGGAGGGGCCTGTGGGCCTGCAGTTTGTGTATCCAAGGTGCTGGCAGGGCTGGGCTGCAGTGGGGTCCTGAGCAGTTCAGCCCCACCCTGTCCAGATGAGGCCCATTGGCCCAGTGCATGTGGAGAACGATTCACAGGAGGAACGCTGCCAACCTGTGGTCGCCCTGCCTTGCCCCTCTCTCTGTGGCCTGCCTGATGCCCACCTCTAGAGCTCCGCTGGCCCTCTGGTCCAGCCTGCAGGCACTGCCTGCTGCTCAGAGGGGCTTTGGTGGGCACTGGGTGGGGCCTGTGGCTCTCTGTGCCCTGGGGAGGGAAACTGGCTCCGGACTGGCGGGGCAAGGGTGGTGTGTGGGGATAGTGCCCCTAGGCTGGGTGCGGCCGCCCCTCACTCTGTAGCCTGATGGGGCAGGTCAGCAGGCACCACTCCTGGGCCTGAAGGAGCCGGCATCGATTTCCCAGCACTGGGGGGGGCTGTAACCGGAAACTCCCCTCCCTAGCTGCTATATTTAGCACCACAGAACACAGGCGGAAATACAGCTCACTCCTGAGCCCAGCTGGCTCTGTCTAAACCCTGGGCAGCCTGCACCCCAGTCTGGTCCTGAAGCCCCCCTGGCCAGGCTGGCCCCTACCCCATCCATGCTTTGCCCAGCACAAGCTGAGCACCCGTCTGAGAGCAGGCCCAGGGGAGTCCCCAGGCTGGGGGTGGCAGAGCTGAGTCTGAGGGGTGTTGTGGCCCAGTGGGCCCCAGAACATTGATGGAGGCCTTCCTGGAAGAGGCAGGGCAGCCTGACCTGGCATGGGTAGAGGTTGGAGCCCTGGCCATCACGGGATCACCAGCCCCCTGGCTCAAGAGCTGCAGAAATCCCTGGAGGGGGGACTGCAGGAGAGAGGAGTCCCCCATCTCCCTGCAGCCCCTGGTGCCCACGCCTTCCCTGAAGTGGCCACCTTCCTGACTCAAACCTCTCCTAGGCACCATTAGGTCTGGGCTGTGGCTCTTGGAGGCAGGAGGAGAAAGGGGTCTGTGAGCCAGAGGGGGCGTCTGTGCTCCGCAGAATGGCCCCCGGGCAGGCAGGGAGGCAGGCCTGGGTCTGTTGATCCCCTAGTAGTGCCCTGATGCCCACCCAGCTGCCCTGAACCAAGGGGACCCAGGTCCCGCTTCCAGAGGGCCAGTAGGGAAGCAGATGCAGCCAGGCCACTGCCTCCCCGGTCCTGGGGAGCCGTCGGGCTTTCTGCACCCGAGGCAGAGCCCGCCCGCGGGAAGGGCCCGGAGTGTCTGCAGCCGATAGGCTGAGCTTGGATCTGGAGATGGAGTGAGCATGCCTCCCTGGTGCCCCGGACAGCTCCGAGCAGGCGGAGGACCCCTGGTGAAATGCTGGAGCTCCTGGAATCAGGCAGGCTGTCCTTTCCTCCCGCAGCTGCCCGTGAGCAGGAAGCCTTGGAGGTGGGTGAAGGGAGGACACACGTTAGCGGGGGAAGGAGGGTTCTCCCGATCCCACCTCTTAACGCTGGAATTCCCCCTCCTCAGCCCCTCCACCGCCAGGCCTGGCATGTCACCGGCCTCTCCCTCCTACTACGCCAGTGGCCCCCTATGGCCTCCTTCCCCACCCTTGCCCCCTGCTGCCCCTCCCCCATGGCCAGGGATCCTGCGAAAATGTAAGTCACATACGTGCAGCCCAGCCCAGCTCAGCTGCTTCCTGCGACTTCCCGTTGGTCACAGCAGGAAGACCGCCCGGGAGGCCCGCGCGGCCTGGCCGGTACCTCCATGCTGCCGCACCTCACCTTTGCCTTCCCAGTCCTGCCTAGGCCATGGGGCCCACCAGGCTTCTGCAGGGTCCGGCTCCCTGGCCCAGCGCCTTGCGCAGGCGGCACCCCAATCCTCACCTGGCTGTCTCCTTCCTGCCCTGGGGACTCAGCAGGCCCCTCCCCACGTGCCCACCCGCGTCACCCTCATGGCTTGTTGCTGCGCCTCCCTAGATGTCTGGGCCCTTTCTCCAGCCCTGGACCGGGAGCCCCTGAGGGCGAGCAGGCCAGCTCTGCCTCGTCCAGTACTTTGGCTCAGTGCTCAGCAGAGGCACCCAGGGCCTCCTGGGTAGTGCGGCAGTGGCTAGAGCAGGGATGGAGCCCTGCACTCCCGGAGCCTGGGGGAGTCCCCCTCTCCCCTCTGGACCCTTGAAGTGCCTAGGTGCCTGTCCCTGGGCCAGAGCAAAGAGGTGGAGGAGGTGTCTCCACCGTGAGCCCTCTACCCATCTTCCAGAAGAAAGCCGCTGGAAATCTCTGAACACATCTCACAGTCCTTCATTTGGTGGGGTGGCTGCATGTGGCCGTGCCTTGCTTATGCCCAGCCCCTACTCCCAGCCTACGGAGGGGCTCAAGTAAGGATGGGGGCTCAGAGTGAGCAGATCCAGACCCGTCCCTTCAGTCCCCCAGCTGCTCCAGAGGTCTGGTTACTGGAGGGGGTGGGGTAGTGAACCCCAAGGGGTGGCAGTCACAGAGCACTGGGCACCTTGGCCACATGGCACATCCCAGAGAGTGCAGACTCGTGCTTCTAGGTCTGCTAGGCCCCCAGACACCACCCCTGAACCAGGTCTCCAGAGCTCTCTTCCTCCAGGAAGCCCTCCATGTCCCCACTCCCATCCGCACTGAGGCAGTTACTAGCTCTAGGCAGGGGCTTGCATTTCCAGCACCCAGCACAAGGCCAGGGCAGAGAAAGTAGTCCAGTTGCTGTGGGGTTGGGGTTGGAAGACCCCTGTGGACCACACTGAGATCCCTGGATGCAAGTTGACCACCAGCCCTGGAAGAGACTGCTTGAAGAGGAGGTGACATTTGGAGACAAGGAACCCTTGGTATTGACCCCGTGGAGGGGGCACGAGGCTACCCCAGCAGAGGGCAACAAGGTGATGAGAGCGGGTGGGACACGGAAGCCTGACAACCAGGATAGCAGGAGGAGCCACTTCGGGGAGCTCTCGCCCCGTCCCTTGGGGCGTGCACCACTGTCTCTCATTACCCTGTCGGCCCCCTGAACTCCTCCCATACCCGGCCCCCTGGCCTGGGCGTTCCACGAGAGCAAGGCCTGGGGACCCCTGCGCCAGGGCGGAGCAGAACACACAGCCTCCGCCTAGAAGCATCTGTCGCCCGGCGATGGGACCCGTAAACCCTGGCGGTAGGGCAGGGGCGTTGGAGGGGAGCAGCGCCCCCTACGGCCGGCGTGCAGGCTGTGGGAGTGGCGCGGACGGGGACCTTCCCGAGGAAGGGTCCTAGGCCCCGCCCGCCCCGCCTCGGGGGCTGAGCCCTGAATTGTGCAGGAGGCAGCATCTCCTCTGGGACCGCGAGGAGCGCGGCGGCGGCGCACTGATGGGAGGGGACCTCGGTGGTGACCTCAGGGGCGCCCCACCCCCTGGCTTCTGACACCCGGCGGGGCTCGGGCGACGGGAGGCCGCTTGGCGGCGCCGGTCCCAGCCAGCCGGGCTTGACCAAGGCATGAGCGCAGCGCCCACCGCCCGGGTGTCTGGGGAAGCGCGCGCCGGGCCGGGCGCGGGCAAGAGCGCCCTCCGCCGCCTTTAAAGCCGGACGCCCCCGGCCCCCCCCAGCCCCACCCCGCAGCTCGGCCCCGCCCTCTCATGCATATGCAGGTGCGCGGGTGACGAATGGGCGAGCGAGCTGTCAGTCTCGTCCCGAACTTGTTGGCTGCGGGCGCCGGGAGCGCGGGCGCACAGAGCCGAGGCCAGGACCCGCCGCCGCCGCCGCCGCCGCCGGCAGGGAGGGAGGGAGGCAGGGAGCCAGAACCGAGCGCGGCCGCCTGCGAGTCCGAGCCGCCGCCGCCGCCCCTGCGCGCCCGCCGCCCCGGCCTGCGCCCGGGCCCGCATCGCCGCCCCACCCCAGCCGCAGCCGCCGCCGCTCGGAGCGCGGGCGGGCGGGCTCTGGGAGGCCGGGGCGCGGGCCCGGCGGCAGGCGTTAGGGCGGCGATGCGGGCACGGGCCCGGGGGCGCCTGCCCCGGCGGCTGCTGCTGCTGCTTCTGGCGCTCTGCGTGCAGGTGAGCGGGGTCGGGGCGCAGACGGGGAGCACCGGGCCGCCCCTCGGGGCCGCGGCACCGCCTACGGGCGCCGCCGTCCGGAGCCCTCGAGGCTGCGCGCCGCGCCGGGGCTGGATGGGGGCGGGGCGGTCCCGGCCCCCGACCCCCGACCCCAGCCCGTGCCTGCGCGTGCTCTCCTCCTGCCTTATTTTTAGGCGGCATGGCCCATGGGCTATTTCGAGCTGCAGCTGAGCGCGCTGCGGAACGCGAACGGGGAGCTGCTGAGCGGCGCCTGCTGTGACGGCGACGGCCGGACGACGCGCGCGGGGGGCTGCGGCCACGACGAGTGCGACACGTACGTGCGCGTGTGCCTCAAGGAGTACCAGGCCAAGGTGACGCCCACGGGGCCCTGCAGCTACGGCCACGGCGCCACGCCCGTGCTGGGCGGCAACTCCTTCTACCTGCCCCCGGCGGGCGACCGGGCCCGGGCGCGAGCCCGTGCTGGTGGCTACCAGGACCCGGGTCTCGTCGTCATACCCTTCCAGTTCGCCTGGCCGGTACGTGCACTCTTCCCCACCCGCTGCGCCCCGTCTTTCCCCTCCCCCGGGGCGCGGCCGCCGCCCTACCCGCCGCCCCTCCAGCACCTGCGGCCCGGGGCGTGCGTGCGGGTCGCGCGCACCAGGACGGGGCGGGGCCGGCAGGGGGCGGCTCGCGGAGGGCGGGGTAGGGCGCGTGCTCCGTGGGTCGCTGTCCGCGCCCGGCCACGTGGGCGCGCGGGGGTCGCGGCAGGCGCGGGGCGGGGCGGCCGCGGCGTGTGCTGCGTCGCCTTGCGCGTGTCTGTATGGGGGGAGGCGCGGCGAGGCGCCCCGGGCTCGGGCAGGCCGCGGAGGCATGTGCGCCGCGCGTGCTGGGGCCGGTTTGGGGCAGGTCCTGGCGGAGCCGCCCCGGGCCCGCAGCCAGCCTGCGCCCGCCCTTCTGTTTTCTGGTTGCCCAGGGGTGGGGGTGGGGGCACCTCGGCCGGCGCCGGGGGACCTAGGCCCGATGGGGCCTACCTAATGCGTGTGTCTTGGCAGCACCCTGTGCTGCTGGCCCAGGACCCCTGAGGAAGAGTGACAGGCCCTGGTGCCAGGACCCTTTTTTCCTACTGTCCGTTTGTTCTTTTTGGGGAGGAGGCTCGGGCCTGGGCTTGGGGAGCGGTGTGGCCATGCCCGTGGGCTGCCCTGTGCATGGCTGGTGTGTCTGTACCCGGCTCTGCAGAGCGGGCAGCAGGGGGGCCTCCTGGTGCCTGGTGTGGCTGGCTTTTTGAGGCAGGGCCTGGTGCTACATGCGCACTCCAGTCTCCAAGCTGCAGGATTAGAACTGGCTGGGGCAGGAATGAGAGGACCTGGTGAGGGGGACTCCGGTGTGCAGGAATCTGCCAGGGACAGCTCTGGGGGGCCATAGAGGGGCTGGAGCAGCATGTCAGGGTGTGACCGAGGGCCCAATATTTGGATGGAGGGCTGTTGGCTGTACCAGCCAGAGAGAGGCATCAGGAGTGTGTCTACCTGGCTCCCTGGTCTTGAAAGAGACTGGGGGCTGAGGTCAGGCTAGCCAGAGTGTGGCCAGTAGGGTTTACTCCGTGGGGTTCTGAGCCCTGTGTTGGCGTCTTCTAAGCGTCGTAGACAAGGTGGTCTTGCCTGCCTGCTATCGCATCCTCACTCTCTCGTGAGCTTCCACCCCTGTAAGGAGTCTGACTCCGGCTCTCTGGCCACTGTCCCCTCTGGCCACAGCCTGCGCCTGTGTGTTTGGCTAGTCCCTGGGGTCTCCCTTGACTGCTGGGCCTTGGGTCGAGAGAGTGTCCCCGGGATGGGAAAGGCAGGGGCAGGCATGGGAGAGCCTGGGGCGGCTGCTGTCAGCCCAGCCTCCTCGCCCCCACAGCAGCACAGCGGCAGGTCTGAGCAGGGCCCGCAGCCTGTCATCTGCACTTGGGCACGAGCCAGCACGGCTCTGAATTCGCTACCTGAGGATGTGTGTTCTCTTGAGTTGGCAGCAGTGGGCGTGGGGGCAGGGAGGCCCTGGAGGAACGTGGTGGGCCAGTGCACGTCTCCTGTGGCTCTCAGCCCCAGCATCCAGCCAGCCGTGGGCCAAGTGGCAGGCCCGTGCTGCCCTTGGGAGCCCTGGGGTCCAGGCACCAGGTCTCCGGGCTGGCTCATCTACTCCCAGCTAGTTGCCTCAGATGCCACAGGAGGGGCTAGGTGGCTGTCCCCCAGGTGGGGTAGGGCTGTGGGGTGGCTGCTCCCCTCCCTGCCGGCAGTGCATCCCAGCTGGCAGGCGTGTAGCCAGTGTTGGTGATGCCAGGGCCCTGGCATTTCCGCTCAGCCGGCAGCAGCCCGCGGCCACACTGCCTGGGTCTGCTGCAAGCCCAGCTTCGTCCGCTGAGCTGGAGCGTGCCTGGAATGGAGTTTGAGCCTCAGTCGAGGGGTGGGGCAGGTGCTCTTGGGCTTCCTGGAGGAGGAGGTGTGAGGAAGGCTTGAAGGTGCCCAGGTAGAAGAGCTGGTTCCTGTGGGAGGGTGCGCGCAGCCACAGTCCTGCTCCCAGCCCTGGGACCCTGCAGAAGGGATTGGGAACTAGTTGGCCCGTGCTCCTTTACCCCTTCTAGTAAGCCTTGGCCAGCCTTGAACCAGTCCCCAGGCCACTGCTGGTACCCCAGGCGTGGTTGGGTGGCCCTCTGCACCCTGACCTGGTCCCACAGACTGGGGTCTCTGTGCCCTCTGGTTCTAGGTCAGTGGCAGGCCCAGATTCATGGATATGGGAAGGTTGGATATGGGATACCTGTCAGGTGGCCGCCTGGGTGTGAGGGTCGTCGCCTCTCCACTCCACCCCACAGATGCTCCACTGTTTCCTGCTGGCCCCCCAGCAAGTCATTAACACGCTATTGGCCCCAGTGCCTGGCTTAGCTGCTGGGATGGAAGTCACAGTGGGTCGTGTGTATGCTTGTGCACATACTCGGTGTGGCTGGTGGGCATTGGAGGGTTGGGAGGGGCCTGGTAGGTGGTGGGCTCCGGGGCTGGTTGGTGGAGGCAGTGTGGCAGCCAAGGCCCCGTCTTGAGTGAGGGGCCGGCAGGAGGCCCCTGCCTTGCCACCCAGCCCACATTCTGGTGGCTAGAACCCCAGGACCCTGCCTACAAGCTGAAATCTCCCCTGGCGTGTGCCCTGTGGATTTGGGGGGTGGCTACTGTGTACAGCGTATGCACGCACGTGCTGGAGGTGTGCCCGGGGCCGACCCTGTTTCCGACAGCACAGCCAACCTGAGATCCTGGCCACAGCAGGTTCCGGGGCTTGGCTTTCCTGCCCAGTGGTGTGCTGGCGTGGCCCCAGCGGGGCACAGGGCTGCAGGGCTCAGGCGTGCGGAAGTCCCCAGCTTGGGTCCCAGCCTGTCTAGTCTCCTGTCTCCCCGACTGGTGCCCCGCAGAAGGATGGAGTTCCTGGGGGCTGTGGTGTGCTCACAGGGTCTGTATAGACAGGGACCTGGGTACCCAAAGGGGGTCTGGCAGTATGTCAGCACCAGGCCTGGTGCTACCACATCCAGCTCCCATGGGGGCTTAGCCATGAGAGTCCCCGGCCCAAGGCGGACCAGGCTGGGGTCTGCGCCAGGGCACCTGAGCTGCCCTTGATGGTGGGAGGCCCACCCTCCCTGGGCTCCGTGCCACCCCCACCCAGGGGCCCTGACCCCTACCTACCCTGTCCCATTCCTGGAGCTGTGTCCTTCCCACACCTTCCAGAGGTGGCCAGGAGTCCTGCTTGAATGGGGCTTGGCAGGCTGTGCCCCATTTTGTGCCCAGTCCCCTGGATGTGTCGGGGGTCTTGTTAGAGACTTTGGTACAGGGGCAGCAGGGTGGGGACCTTGGGAGGGCGGCACCAGTCAGTGGAGGGTTTGGAAGCAGGCCAAGGGCTTTGTCCCTGAGTCCCAGGGGGGCGGGCCAGGGAGAAAGGCTGAAGTGCCGGGAAGGGGTGGCTGGACGGCAGGAGCAGCTCTTGGCCTAAGGCTGCTCCCTGGCCTCTGGGCAGGGCTGGGGCAGGCTGCGGGGTTGGGGGAGGTCGGCCGGGGGCCTGACCTGAGGTGACAAGCGCCTCTAGTGCCTGAGCCCGAGCCAGGGTCCCTGTGCTTGGTGGGGAGGGGCAGGGGGTTGCACCCAGTCCTGGCTGGTCGCCGGTGCAGAGTGTGGGCCTCTGAGGTCTGCATGGGCGGACCTGCGGTCTGTCCTCCCGCCACTGTTCTGAAGTCCTGTGCCTGGGGGCGGCGGCCCCTCCACGTCTCCTGGATGACAAGGCAGTGGGGGCCAGGGCCTCTTCAGGGCTCAGGTTTCAGGAAATAGATCTGTCTTAGAGCTTTGGTGCTGGCATGTGGGATGCTGCGGAAAAGGAACCAGGCTGGAGCCATGGCCCTGGGCTGTGGTCTGGGGGACTGTGCCTGCCTGGCCTGGGGTGCTCTGAGCCGTGAGGTGCCCTGGGCTGTGAGGTGTGGTAGGTCGGTCCCACGTCTCCTGTGTCACTTCTAGGTCTCTGGGCTGCTGACCTGTGCCCCTGCCCAGGGGTCAGATGAAGGGTTCGGACTTGGTGTTGGGGTTTGGCCAGGGAGGAGGCAGGGGGTAGTTAGGCTGTGGGTCTGCCTGTGCAGCACAGGTGGGTCAGCACAGGTGTTTGAGAAGAGGTGTGGTTCAGCCTTCAGAGACTAAGGCTGGGCAGGCGGGCGGCCCAGCTGGGGAGGACGAACCAGGGTTCCTCTGCCTGCTTGCTGGGGAACCCACCCCTCACGGTCCTTGCCCACCCCTGGGATGACAGGGTGCCCTCTGAAGCCCCAGCCCAAGCCTGTTGGGGTTTGGAGTGGGACATCCTGTCTTGGCGTATGGCACACAAGGCAGGAAGCACAGGGGTGAGAGGTCGCCCCCTGATGAGGGGACACAGTCCTGAAGGCCAGCCCGGGGGAGGGGAGGAGGCTGGGGGCCCAGCTCTGGGGGAGGTGTGGATGCTGCCCCGCCCGCCAGCTCAGGTTCTTTCTGGATGACATCCTGTCCTCCAGGTACAGGGAGCCCAGCTGGCGAGCGGTGGGGCCCTTGCAGGTGGGCGGGCGGGCACATGTCCCTGTGGGAGCCCGTAACTGGAGCCGTGGGCTCTGGCGAAGGTGGCAGTAACCCTACCTGACTGGCTGGCGTGAGGTTTCCTGGGAGCCGGGAGAGGAGCTCCCTGATCACCCAAACGGAGCCAGGTGTGGGGAGGTGGGTCCTGTGGGGCGGTGGGCGCCTGGCCTGCTGGGGGCCTTGGACTGCAGTGCTGGTTGTAGGCCAGCCCTGGCCCTGCCCTCTTGTGCTCAGCCCCCTGTCAGCCCCCAATTCCTGTGTGTGCCTGCCCTCAAAGCCTGTCTCCTCCGGCACCGGGAGCCACTGCCGACGCCCCGGTGGTCTCGAGCCCCGCCGAGCCCCAGCAGCCTCTTTGCTGAGCACCGGTGCCAGAGTCAGCCTGGAGTCTGTGGCCCTGTGCAATCTGAGACCAGCACCTCTGTTCCCGCGTCCCTGCTCTTCCGTCCCTTTGGGTTGCTGGGTCCCGCTCAGGGTGCTTCCTGCCTTGCTGGGCAGCCTCAGTCCCAGCATCTCCCTGTCCAGGGCCTGCCTGCCCCCTTCTAGAACAGCACCCTGCCCCAGAGTCCCACTGACTCGTTCCACCAAGGCCAAGTGGTGGTCACCAGCAGGAGAGGCATGCCGGGTGCCTGCTGGAAGGGATGGCCGAGTGCATGTGCAGGCGATGCTTGGGAAGGAGCCATATCACCAGTAGTGGCAAGGACATGGCTGGCCTGCGGGTGGTACTGTAGGCAGTGGGACGGAGCTGCCTGTCAGGCTCAGAGCAGGGTGGGCGGGCATGTGGAGGACAGGAGCCACAGGAGCCCGGGGAGAGCTCTGCGTGGCGGGGAGATGCAGCTGGGCCTGGGGTCATAGGGGCCCCTGTGTGTAGGCATGCAGGGGCCCCAGTGGCTGCAGGTGCCCTTGGAGGAGATGGGCAGCCTGGGCACGGGCTGCTGGCCTGGCAGGGGACAAGGCTGATGCAGGCAAACAGGTTCAGGACTCAAGAGGTGGGGCTGAGAGCTGGGTGGCAGCCTCCGCAGGCAGGGAGTTCTAGAGGGGTGGGGCTGGCTCCCCCACTCCAGCTGTGCCCCTGTATGGGAATGAGGTCTTGTGGGTCATCCTGGCAGGTCTGGGCGGCAGGGGTGCTGGCCTGGGGCTGAGAGCAGGGGCAGCAGTGCAGGTGAGGCTCAGGAAGCTGAAGGTGGGCAGGCCCTGGGACCCGAGGCTGTCTTGGTAGAGGGGCTGGAAGAGGAAAGATGGTTGGAGGCATGGGGTGGGGTGAGGAGGGGACCCCAGCACGAGGCCTCAGGGTGGTGGGATGGCCCAGGGTGGGGGTCCTCGGCCTTTGGAGGGGGAAGCCTTGGTTTTATGGCAGTCTGAAAACAGCCTCTGTTTCCCCATCTGTGGCAAGGGCCCCTCCTGCCCCATCCCTGTCCTCAGGACGAGGCTCGTGTGTTGTGTACTGCACACTGGCCGTGTCCAGGGGTAGCGCCTGGGCTTGGCCTGTCAGGCCCTGGTGGGGCCTGATGGAGGGCCCAGGGGTGGCGACCGTGTCCCTCAGGCGGACCTCATGCTCGTTGCCGTGGGTCCGGCCCCAGTGAGGCACCAAGGGCCACTCCCACTGGGCACTCCCTGGTCCCGGGGGACCCCCCATGGCCACCCAGCTGCACGGACCCTCTGCCTGGGCCACTCTTCTCCCTGTGCTGAGCGGAGCTGGTGGGGCTGGGAGACTTTTGACTGTGGGGGCAGCCTCTCTCTCCTGAGTGGGTCATTTTGGGGTCTGCTGAGGAGGTGTGGCCTCAGCCAGGGCTGGGGCAGGGCAGGCTGGCTGTAGTGGGTGGGGCCTGCACACCTGACCGGCCCCTCCCATGTCCACAGCGCTCCTTCACCCTCATCGTGGAGGCCTGGGACTGGGACAACAGCTCCACCCCGGATGGTAAGTCAGCCTGGGCTGGGGGCCGGGGGCCAGGGGCCGGGTTGGGCCCACTGCTGACCTGCAGACTCCTCAGCCACAGGCATGCATGTGGCCGGGAAAGCTGCTTCTATCCTGAGGGTCTGTGTGCTGTTCCCTCTTTGCCCTGGCTGCCAGGAAGCTCTGCCATGTTTGTAATTTGCAGAGCTGTGCATGTGTGTCCTCTCCGTCTCAGCCTCTTTTGTGTGGTTCTTCCAATGGGCACATTCTTCAGGGGCTGTGTCAGTGGCAGAGTGGAGCAGGGCACCCCCAAGAGGCTCTCTGGCTTTGTGGCTCTTTCTCTGCCCATCTGTCCTGGAGTGTGGGGTTCCGTGACCATCTCCCCAAGGCTCACCTGCTGGCTAGCCACAAGCATGGGGGTGTCTGTGGGGCCCTATGGCAGTAGGGCAGACAGGTCTTCAGGGAGCCAGTGGGGAGAGCATTGCAGGCAGCAGACACAGCATGTGCAAAGGCCCTGAGGTAGGAGGAAGCCAACAAGTTAGGGAGTAGGATGGGGCCTGAGGGTCATGCAGTTCACAAGGTCAAGGCGGCCAGGGTCAGCTCATGCAGGCCTTGTGGGCCACCGTGAGGACACTGGCTTCTTAGATGTGGGACTGCTCAGGCTGCTGTGTGGCCAGGATGGAAAGCAGTATGAACCAGGGGGCGGTCAGGAGCGCTCGGACCAGGGGCTGCCTGGAGGTAGGGGCATGGGGTTTGCCGATGGGCAGGACGTAGTGAGAGAGTAGGGTCTCCTCACGGATGGTGAGGGGTCAGCAGGACGGACAGGTTGATTCAAGGGTGATGCCACATGGACATTTGACTGCCGAGTCAGGCCAAGTTCTGATTCTCACTAGTGACCCTGTTGGGGAGACTGGCTGGGCTGGGAGTGGCGGTCAGTGGGGATGGGGTGGGCATGGGCTTGGGTTGCCCCGGATGGGGGTGTTTTGGGATGAGGGTGGCAATGCGAAGGGTCAGTCAGGCACCTGGACAAGGATGGGCCTGGGGGGACATGGGGTGCGAGGCCTTGCTAGGAGAGACCAGCAGGGCGTAGTCCCCAGGCTGCTGCTCGTACAGAGGACAGGCAGGGTGTGTGGGAAAGCCTTTTATTGTGGGAAACCCTGGGTCGGTGCGGAAGCACAGGGCAAGGCCCCACCGACCGGGGGCCCGTGACTGCCCGCTCAGGGCGCTCCCCACCGTGCAGTGTTCCCGCTGGCAGTGACGGCCGGCTGTTGAATCTCTGGATTGGTGCATGTCTCCAGGGGGTTGAGAGGTTTTGTTTTTTTGTTTTTTTATTTTATGCTAATTTTTTTTTTGGTATCATTAACATACAATCACGTGAGCAACATTGTGGGTACTAGATTCCCCCCATTCTCAAGTCCCCACCACACACCCCAGTACAGTCATTGTCCATCAGCATAGCAAGGTGCCATGCAGTCAGTACTTTTCTGAGAGAAGGCTTGTTCTATGACAGGGAGGTAGGGAGGCTGTGCAAGTTGCTGGGAGCGACCCCCTGGGGGGGAGAGGTGCGGGTGAGGGGCACGCACGGTTCTGTGGGGGGCACTGGTGTAGGAACAGGGCTGTCTGCTGGGAGGGGCAGGTGGGGGATGTAGGGCTCACAACCCTGCAGCAGCTAAGCCACCCCTGGGAGCTCCTCACGGGGGCACCCCAGCCCCCCCGGCGCAGCCCCGCCTGGCCCCTGGCATTTGGGTGGGGAGTAGAAGGCCTCTCAGCCCTGTGCTCTTGCAGCGGCCTGGCCAGTGGGGCCGCCATCCTGGGCACGGCAGGTTTTCTCCACCCGCTGCCCCGCTGCACGAGCTGCCGAGCTACCCGGCGTCCTGGGCCTGGGCTCGCTCCCCGAGGGTGGGGCCACGGCCAGGCTGACTCTGCCGCCTCCCCAAGAGGAACTGCTGATTGAGCGGGTGTCGCACGCGGGCATGATCAACCCCGAGGACCGCTGGAAGAGTCTGCACTTCAGTGGCCACGTGGCGCACCTGGAGCTGCAGATCCGCGTGCGCTGTGATGAGAACTACTACAGCGCCACCTGCAACAAGTTCTGCCGGCCGCGCAACGACTTCTTCGGCCACTACGCCTGTGATCACTATGGCAACAAGGCCTGCATGGACGGCTGGATGGGCAAGGAGTGCAAAGAGGGTGAGCAGTCCCGGGGCTGTGCAGGGGCACTAGGGTGCCACACGGAGGGGCCGATGGGGCTGTGCGAGGGGCCACAGGGGGTTGTACAAGGGTACCAAGGGGCTGTGCGGAGGGCCAGGTGGGGCTGTGCAGGGGTGCCAGGGCACCATGTGGAGGGGCCACGGGGTCTGTGCAGGGTTACCGGGGGGCCATGCAGAGGGCCATGGGCACCATGTGGAGGGCTGTGGGGGCAGTGGGCAGGCCTGGCTGGAGGCCCACGCGCAGTTGGCTGCAGCGCTCTCTCTCTGGCCCTTCTGCAGCCGTGTGTAAACAGGGATGTAACCTGCTCCACGGGGGATGTGCTGTGCCTGGGGAGTGCAGGTGAGTGCTAGCCGCCTGCCCTTCCTGTGCCCTCTGTGCCCACGCGCTCCCTCAGCAGAGGTTGGTCGGGCACCTCCTGTGTGTGATGCGCTCCATGGCTGTTGGGGACATGTGCTGGACAAGGGATAGGGCCCTGCTCCTGTGCAGTGTAGAATTAGCACAGGGGAGACACTGGCCTTGAATCTGGGTGTGCCAGATGGTGACAGCCCCATGCGCACAGTGTGGAAGGGGACCGGGAAGGGCCAGGGCCTCTCTAGGTAACTGTGGAGCAGTCAGGCTCGGGGCGGGAGCCTGGAGGCTGAGAGCTGCCCGGGGACAGGCTAAGGGACGCCCAAGCACAGGAGGGGCCCAGAAGGCCCTGAGGGCACGGCGGCTTGTGCTCAGGGGCAGGGAGAGAAGGGCCAGCAAGTATGGGGTGGGACCTGGGAAAGAAGAGGGGCCACGGTGGGGTTCAGAGCCAGAGGGATGGACGTACCAGGGCAGCAGCTTGGGTGAAGAGCTGGGTGGAGGGCTGAGGGTGAGGGACGGCCCCGGGGGAGGTGGGGGGCAGCTGGGTCCTGCAGACATCCTGGGGTAGATTTGACGCAGAGCTGAGAGGAGGAGCCGGGGGTCAGGAAGGACCCCAAGCCTTCTCGCTTGGCCTCAGGTGGAGCAGGCACAAGTAGAGCAAGGTAGATGGTGCTGGAGGGTGAGGTCTGCGCAGCCCCGGGACACATGCTGAAGTGGGGGGGTTATGGCAAGGTGCCTGGCTGGTGACACACGTGCGGGGCCTGTGGCACGTAGGCTATGTGTAAAGCCCCAGATGGAGAAGAGGAGAGGTCAGGGAGCCAGTGCTAGCCTCCTGCTGGCAAAGGTGTGAGAGGGTGAGAAGCTGGCAGAGGCTGCCTGCAAGAGTCAAGGGGGACTCGGGAGATGACACAGGGAGGTCTGGGTTCGTGGTGGGCCCAAGAGACTGATGCCCAGCCCAGCCCAGCCTCTGGCCTCACTGATCACAAGACCCCCCAGGGGGTGGGCTTGCATCCACGGGCCTCTTTTAGACGGGGACACTGAGCACAGAAGCCACTTCCCCAGGCCGCACGCCGTTGAGTGTGGACAGGAGAACTAGGTTGGCACCCGGCTGGGGTGGGAGCCGGGAAGGGAGGTCTGGTGACCCTGTGCCTGTGCGGTGGTGGCTTTGGCCTGGAGGTGGCGTGAGCAGGGCAGGGAGGCGGGGCAGGTGGCCCAGGGTCGGTGGGTGGGGGCTGGCAGCCCCAGCAACCATATGCGGGGTGGGAGGGGTGTTGTGGGGCTGCCTGTCAGCCCAGATGGGACAGGACCTTATCTTGCAGCCGTGCACTCTGACTTGTGTGATGGGTGTGAGCCTGGGGACTGGGCAGGCACAGGTCCGAGGGTAGCTAGCACAGTGGAGCCAGCCCCTTGTGCAGTGCACAGCCTTGATGCTGAGCCAGGGGCCCTTGGTGGCTGGCAACCAAGCAGCTGAGGTAGGAAGGAGGTAGAAGAGGGGCCTGTCTTTTTCCCCACCTTCCCCCTGCTGGTGTGGGCCGTGCAGGAAGACGAGGGGCAGGGCTCCCTGGGACAGAGGTCTGTAGGGTCGGGGGAGCATAGGTGAATCCCTACCCATCCCTGTGGGTGAGGCCCAGCTGCTGCTGCGGCTCAGGGCTCAGGTTTCAGAGCAGGACACCCCCCACCGGATACCACGGAGATGGCCATGCCTTCCTGCCGCCTCCTCCCTGGGCTTCTGGGGCCACAGGCCAGGGAAGCTGGGGAGGTGGGGGCCTAGTGGGGGCTGCCCCACCCAGAACTGAGCGCACACCCTGGGGACCATGGGGTTTGGGCTCCCAGCTCGCCCATGCAGCTCCCTGGCCAGTGACACAAGGCATGTCACCACCCTGTCCTGAGACTGTCTTCGCACACCACCCGGAGGGATTCTGGGTGGGGGTGCGTGGCCAAACTGGCACCGACCTCCCTGTACAAACAGGCCTGGATGGTGGAGCCCCTTCTCATCAGCCCCAGTGTCCCCATCCATGCCTGCTGAGCCAGCCAGGGTCCCTTCTGAATGATTGCAGGGCTTGGTTGTCCAGGAGGGGACTGGGGCTTCATCCTTTTACAAAAATAAATTCTCATGGTGGGTGCTGGCCAGGAGGCACCTTGGCCTGGCTGTCAGTCCTGTCCTGCAGGACCTCTGAGTTCTAGGAAGGAGGCTCTTGGGGTCCCATCCAGGGCCAGAGGGTAGCCTGCAACGTGCTGGGTGTCAGCTGCAGGAAAATGGGCCCTGTCCCCTGATGGCAGTGTCCCTGAGTCAGGCTGTGTTCCAAGCTCTTGGAAAGTGGCCACACCTGGGATGGACTTTCACTGATGTCCTGGGCACCCTTTCTGCCCCAGCCACCTGGCCCACCATTTGGGACAAGGCTAGGTCTTGGGATTGTGGCCTTGAAGCCAAGAGGCCTCTCTATAGGCCATTTGCCAGGGAGTGTCTGACTCTTCCTGGAGGGTCAGGAAATGCCCTGAGTCTGGCCTCTCACAGGGCTGGCCTGGTGCAGCCGATGGGCCTTGATGTCCCCATCTTGATGGGGCTTTGTTGGGAGAGAGGAGTTACTGCCCTGGAGTTCCAGGTGAGGTCACGTGCTGCCCGGGCCATGCAGCCGGGGCTGGGCCACGAGCCCTGTCCTGTTGTCCCTGCTGGCCTGCGTTGGTAGCAGCTGGTGCATCCGAGCTCACACTGTCATTCCTGGGGTCCCGGCACGGCCTTCCTTCCCTGGCGCCTGCTCTTGGGGCCCTGCTCAGGGGTGAGTCCCGAAATAGCTCCGGGAGGAGTGGCTGGACAGCTGCGGCTGGCCATCCAAGGCCAGTGGCCGGGAAGTGCCCGTGACCCCCACCTGGCCCAGGGCCTGCTCCAGTTCAAAGCTGAGGCCGCCAGCCCCGCGGGTGGCCCACGTGACTGTATCTGCGTCCCCGAGCTACCCTGGCAGCAGCCACAGCTCCGGGGTCTCCCTCACCACCGGGCCGCCCGCCCCTCGGCCCTCCCCAGGTGCAGCTACGGCTGGCAGGGGCGGTTCTGTGATGAGTGTGTCCCATACCCTGGCTGTGTGCACGGCAGCTGCGTGGAGCCCTGGCAGTGCAACTGTGAGACCAATTGGGGCGGCCTGCTCTGCGACAAAGGTAGTGGCGGCATGAGCGGGTGGCTCCGCTGAGGGCTGCCGTCTCTGGGAAGACGGGGTGCGGGGTGAGGGACAGGGGCGGGCCTGCCCCATGAGTACCCGCCCTTGCCCCCAGACCTGAATTACTGTGGCAGCCACCACCCTTGCACCAATGGGGGCACATGCATCAACGCCGAGCCCGACCAGTACCACTGCGCCTGCCCTGACGGCTACTCGGGCAAGAACTGTGAGCAGGGTATGTGGGGGCCAGCTACTGGCTCCAGGCTGCTTCCTGGGGACCCTGGCTGGGCCCCATCTCTCTAGCCTCCTTGTGCAGTGGGTACCCCCTGCCTTTGGGCTTTGGGGGCCTGGGGAGAAGCACTCAGAAAAAGGCAGGGGGCCTGGGCCACCATGCCCACCGCCCCTGCCTCTGGTCCCCAATGCAGCTGAGCATGCCTGTGCCTCCAACCCATGTGCCAATGGGGGCTCATGCCATGAGGTGCCCTCCGGATTCGAATGCCACTGCCCATCTGGCTGGAATGGGCCCACTTGTGCACTGGGTGAGTGCCCTCTCGAGCATAGGGGTGCTCCTGCCTGGCCTCTGAGGGGGTCTTGAGGGTGGGGGTGGGGTGGCAGTATGGGGATGGGGGCAGTGCGGTTGTCTGCACATACGGTTGTGGATCCAGGGGTCAGAGGAGCAACAGGAAGACCCAAGCATGTGGCCCCCCGTCCCCAAGGGGCCCCACCTCTCCTGGGGACCTGCCTGCCTGCATGGCCTACCACCCCATGCCAGTCCCTCTGTCCCTCTGCAGACATCGACGAGTGTGCCTCCAACCCGTGTGCAGCAGGGGGCACCTGCGTGGACCAGGTGGACGGCTTTGAGTGCATCTGCCCCCAGCAGTGGGTGGGGGCCACCTGCCAGCTGGGTGAGGGCCCTGAGGGGTGTGCCTGTGCATGGACTGTGCGCTCTGCATGCGGCGGCTGCTGCTGGCACTGTGGGGCTGTGGTGCTGGGTGTGGGGGAAATGGGGCCAGAGCCCCAAGCCCCATCACCCCTTGTCTTCTCTGCAGACGCCAATGAGTGTGAAGGGAAGCCGTGCCTTAATGCTTTTTCTTGCAAAAACCTGATTGGTGGCTATTACTGTGATTGCATCCCGGGCTGGAAGGGCGCCAACTGCCACATCAGTCAGTACGGGTGGGTGGGCAGGTGGCAAGTGGGCGGGGCCGGGGCACCCAGGACTCTGCTCACGACCCCGCCCCTCTGTCCCCAGACATCAATGACTGCCGCGGGCAATGTCAGCACGGTGGCACCTGCAAGGTGAGGTGTGGCCGGCCACCTTGCCCTGCACGTGTGGGAGGGGCTGCGGGGCTGCCGGAGGCTCACTCGCCCTGCCTGCCCCAGGATCTGGTGAACGGCTACCAGTGCCAGTGCCCACGGGGCTTTGGCGGCCGGCACTGCGAGCTAGAGCTGGATGAGTGTGCCAGCAGCCCCTGCCGCAGCGGCCTCTGCGAGGACCTGGTCGCCGGCTTCCGCTGCCACTGTCCCAAGGGCTTCTCGGGGCCACTGTGTGAGGTGAGCCCTGCGGGCATGCCGCCTGCGCTTGATGCTCTGGCCGTTGCCTAGCACGCTGTCATTCCCCAGGCCACTCACGTGGCCGGGAGGGACTGCGGAGGGGCTTGGCCCTCCGGTATCCTGGGTCAGTTCTAGACCAGGCCCCAGGGTCCCAGCAAGCCCTCCTGGTGGGCAGGTGTCTTATCTGTTTGCCCTCCACTGGGACTGGAGGTCACGGGGCCCAGAGGGCGGAGCATGGGGACAGCCTCACAGGGGGGCCCTGGAGTGGGTTGGGGCATCGAGAGCGAGGCTGCTGCAAGTAGTGGTTGGGTCTGAGGAGGGGTGTGTTGTGCTGTCTGGGCAGCTCCTGCCCGGCTCCCCTCTGCCCTGGCCCTGCAGTGGGGAGTTGTGGGCTGCAGGGATGCGTGGGCCCAGCGCGGCCCGGCCTGGGGCCATGGAGCCTGCTGATGATGCTTTTGGGAAGGGGCACAGATGGGGCCCCAGCCGCCATCGTGGTTGGGTAGCGGTCAGGCGCTGGCCTTCCTGCCACTGGGAGGGGTGAAGGCCGGATGCCGCCTGGGGAGGCAGAGGAAGCGGGCTGCCCCGAAGGCACAGGCAGCGGGTGGAGTCCGGCAGCCACAGGTGTTTCCGTCCAGCTGACGGTCCTGGACAGTCTGGTGTGGGCAGGCCTTCACGCTCTGGCCGCAGAGGCCCGGTATCCAGGCTGAGCGGGGCTGGGGGCTTGGGGAGCACGGGGGAAGCTGGGCCTCACGGGTGTCCCCTGCCCTGCAGGTGGACGTCGACTTATGTGAGCCAAGCCCATGCCAAAACGGCGCCCGCTGCTACAACCTGGAAGACGACTATTACTGCGCCTGCCCCGACCACATGGGCGGCAAGAACTGCTCGGTGCCCCGGGAGCCGTGCCTGGGCGGGGCCTGCAGAGGTGGGGGCGGGGCCGCAGGGCGGCCAGGCGGGGGCAGGGGCAGGAAGTGGGGCGGCGCCTGGGGCCTGCCGGGCCTCCGCAGGCCGACCCGTCCCGTGTACTTCAGTGATCGACAGCTGCGGGTTGGATGCCGGGCCCCGCGCGGCGGGCGCCACCGCCTCCGGAGTGTGCGGCCCGCACGGGCGCTGCGTCAGCCAGCCTGGGGGGAACTTCTCCTGCGTTTGTGACAGCGGCTTCATGGGCACCTACTGCCACGAGAGTGAGTGGCGTGGGCAGGGCATGGGCGGGGGCCGGCAGCCACCGGCTGGGGACCGGCTCACCTCTTCCTCCCGCAGACATCGACGACTGCGTGGGCCAGCCGTGCCGCAACGGGGGCACGTGCATCGACGAGGTGGACGCCTTCCGCTGCTTCTGCCCCAGCGGCTGGGAGGGCGAGCTCTGCGACACCAGTGAGTGGGCCCCGCGGCCGCGCACCGTCCGGGCACGCCAGCGCCCGCAGCCAGCTGTGCTGGGTGCCCGCTGCTGCGGTGGGCCTGGGCCTGCCGGGTGCCTCTCTCCTGGGCCCAGCCGCAGTGCCTTCTCCCTGGGAAGCCCTACCTGAGCGCCGTGCCCCTGCTGACCGGCGTCCTCACCCCCAGATCCCAACGACTGCCTTCCCGATCCCTGCCACAGCCGCGGCCGCTGCTACGACCTGGTCAGCGACTTCTACTGCGCATGTGATGATGGGTGGAAGGGCAAGACCTGCCACTCACGTGAGTGCCTGCCACCCCGGCGTGGGGGGCTGCCCACAGCTCTGGGGGTGCCCACTGAGCAGCCGTGTGCCCGCAGGCGAGTTCCAGTGCGACGCCTACACCTGCAGCAACGGCGGCACTTGCTATGACAGCGGAGACGCCTTCCGCTGCGCCTGCCCCCCGGGCTGGAAGGGCAGCACCTGCAACGTGGGTGAGCGAACCCGGCCCCTGCTGCGCCACCCCTCTCGGCCGGCTCTGGGCCCCGCTGCGTGGAGGCCCTGGGTGTGCCCAGTGCCACGTGGAAAGGCCCCCTTTGTCCCCTTCGTACAGCCAACAGCAGCGGCTGCCTGCCCGACCCCTGTGCTAATGGGGGCACCTGTGTGGGCAGCGGGGACTCGTTCTCGTGCATCTGCCGTGACGGCTGGGAGGGCCGCACCTGCACACATGGTGAGCCTGTGGGGGGGGGCATGGGGGTTTGGGGCCCGCGCAGCGGGGCCTGCTGCCCCCCCCCGTCTCCCTAGCCCTATGTCTTGCGCGTGCCTGCCCAGCAAAGCCTAGTGTACCCTGAGACCTGTCATGCCAACTTGGCAGCTTTACCTCCCGGCCCACCCCGTGTGTTTGTGTTCCAGCCTCTTGATCTCCTACCAGCCACCCACTCAGCGACCCAGGTTCCCGCTCATGTGCCCCTCCCCCCACCCACAGTACCAGTTGAGGGTGTACCCCAGGCTAGGTCCCTTTGTGACTGCCCAGCCGTCTTCTCCTGGAGCGCCCCCTGCCCCCAGCCCCTCCGGGCAGGCTGGTGTGGCAGGTGCCCCGGGCCTGGTGCAGAGGGGTGCTGGGCAGGGGGCTCCCCTGCTGACTTTCCTCTCTCCCCTCAAACGCAGACACCAACGACTGCAACCCCCTGCCCTGGTGAGTGAGTGACTGCCCGGTGGCTGGCTGAGCTCGGGGTGGCGTGGCCCGCCGTAGGGCCCTGCTGATGCCCACCCCCTCCCTGCAGCTACAACGGTGGCGTCTGCGTAGATGGTGTCAACTGGTTCCGCTGCGAGTGCGCCCCTGGCTTTGCGGGTCCCGACTGCCGCATCAGTGAGGAGCTTGGGGCAGCTGGTCAGGCGGGGCCGTGGGGTCCCGCCCTGGGAGCTCCTTCCCGCCCATCCCTGGTGCCAGGAGTTGGGGGCCATCCGTAGCCACGTAACCTGAAGGAGGGGCCGCCACAGTAGTTTCTGCCTCTTTCCAAGTCTGTTTCCCTCCTCGTCTGATGGTCGGCTGGTGGTAGCTCTTTGCTCAGCCCTGCCCCACCAGTGGGGGACTGCTCCGTAAGGGGGTACACCCTTGTTTGGGCTGGGAGGTTTCTTCCCCAGGGCCCCCTGCCCATCCCTACCAGAGGAAGATGGAGGAGGCTGGAGAGTGGGTGCTCATCAAAGCCTCAGGCTAGTGGCAGCGGCAGGCCCAGCTCTGCGGCCCCACAGGGCAAACCGAAGCCCGAGCTGGCGGGGCCCCTCTTCCGATGTGCATGGCCTCCCCCTCCTGCCTCCAGCAGCCCTGGGCCCCTGGTATGGGTGCTGGCCTCCTGGCTGCCCGCTGAGGCTGGCCACCTCCTCACAGACATTGACGAGTGCCAGTCCTCACCTTGCGCCTATGGGGCCACATGCGTGGATGAGATCGACGGCTACCGCTGCAGCTGTCCGCCAGGCCGGTCAGGCTTACGGTGCCAAGATGGTAGGTGGGGGCACTGCTCGGCGGTAGGGGCAGCACCCGGCCTCCCAGCCTGGCACCCACTGCTGACGTGCACCTGCCCGCCTACAGTGATGGTGTTCGGGAGGCCCTGCTGGTGGCGGGGTGTGCCCCTCCCTCATGGGAGCTCCTGGCTAGAGGACTGTAACAGCTGCCGCTGCGAAGACGGCCGACGGGACTGCAGCAAGGTGTGGGTCCTGGGAGTTCTTTCCTGAGGCTGGTGTCCTGGCGTCCCCGGCGAGGGACCACTGCCATCCATCCATAACCCTGAAACTCACCCTGTGAGGCCGGGGAGCTGGTGCTGGGGGAGGGTGGGCCACGCCCACCATTCATTCTGGGTACCCTGGGACACAACCAGGCCCTTCTCCATGCAGTGGAGGAAGCTGACGCTGAGCCCTGCTTAGGCTCTTGAAACCTCTGGCCTGGGCCCTGCCCTTCTGGGGTCAGCCCTGCTCTGGTGGGGGTCCTTTCACTCTGGTAGCCCTGGGTGGTAGGATAGAGCACAGCCTTGGGACTTGCTGACCCTGACCTTTGCTCTTGACACGGTGCCTGTGTGTCTGTGGGTCCTCACCTGCATGCACTCACACCTGTTCCTCCATGTGCATGCCTGGCCTAGGTGTGGTGTGGGCAGAAGCCTTGCCTGCTGGCCGGCCGGCCCGACACCCTGAGTGTCCTGTGCCCACCTGGGCAGCACTGCCGGGAGAAGGCTCCAGGCCAGTGCCTGCAGCCTCCATGTGCAGCCTTGGGGGAGTGTGCTTCTGAGGAGCCCCTGCTGCCCAGCACCCCCTGCTCTCCAGGCTCCAGCTACCTGGACAATAACTGTGCGCGCCTCACCTTGCACTTCGACCGTGACCAAGTGCCCCAGGTGAGTGGTCCTGGCGGGCGGCTGTGCGATTGTCAGCAGGGCCCTGACACCGCCATCCTTTCTGGGAGTGGCCACTCAGATGGCCTGACTGCTTGCAGCTGCCCAGGCCCCTCAGCCGTGGCTCAGCCTCTGTGAGGTCAGGGAAGCTCTGGTTGGTTGCCTGGCCACTGCTGGCGTCCGGCCTCACGGGGCTAGATGAGCAGGACTGGAGATCCCTGTGTGCCCTGTGGGTGGCAGGGTGGCAGGGAGGCAGGGAGTGGCGGGCTCCAGTCATCCCAGGGGGCCTGGACTGAAGGTGGCCCTGCTCACTGTGGGCATTGTGGCCTTCCGGGGGAAGCTGGAGCCAGCCTGCAGCCCTGTCCTTGTGTCCTCCTGGCCTGAACCTCTGTGTCCTGGAGGGAGGAGCTAGGAACCAGATGAGGCCCTGCCCTGACCCTTGCCTTGGGCCTGCTTCTGCTGGGAACCAGGGATGGGGTGGGAGGGGCTGGTACCCCCCAGGGCCTGCCCAGCCTGCCTCGTGGGGGGCGGGACTATATGGGAAGCCAGGTCCCCCCTGGGCCCCATATCCCCACTCCTTTCCCTGAGGTGGGCTACAAGGTGTGTGCTGACACGTGCCTGTGGTGCCAGCCGAGGGACGGGTGGCCTTGAATCCTCAGTCCCAGGCCTCACACGACACCCGCCTCTGCCCAGGGCACCACTGTGGGCACCATCTGCTCAGGCATCCGGGCCCTGCCAGCCACAAGGGCAGTGGCTCGGGACCACCTGCTCGTGCTGCTGTGCGACCGGCCATCCTCGGCGGCCAGTGCAGTGGAGGTGGCCATGGTGAGTAAGGTGGGCAGGGTGGCTCCCTCGCCCGGCTCTGCCTGGCCAGTATTCTGCCCTGTGCGTGTTTCTGGGAGGTGCTGGGGGTGGAGGGCCTGGGCTGGGCTGGCCCCAGGCTCTCGGGAAGATGGGGCGCCTGCTGACTTAGGAGTGCTCCCACCGCCCGGCCAGCGCCGGGTGCAGGCCGCAGAGGCAGCGTGGGCAGATGGCGGCTGGGACCCCAGACTAGGCTCGTGTTCCTGCTCAGGTCTGGTGTCTGGGGCCCCAGACGGGGTTTCCTGGAGCTGAGGGAGGCCCCTAGGCAACAGTAGGGATTGAGGTGCAGAGGCGGCACCCAGAAAAGGAGCGTGGCCAGGGACCCCGATGGACAGTGGTGGGTGTAAATGGAGGGCCCCTCGAGGGCAGGGACAGGGAGTGAGGAGGCCCCTAAGGTTGTGGGCCAAGGTTTGGGGCCCTGGGGGGCGGCAGCCCTCACCCGGGACCCTGACCTGGGACCTTGGGGCTCGTTCGAGGATTGGGTGTGCCTGGCGCTGAGGCCTCAGCCTGTTTCACTACACAGGGTGGGTGGGCATCGCATCCTTGTCCTCACCTGTGCCGTGTCCCCAGTGTCTGTGGTGGCGGGGCGCCTGGGATGTGTGGGCCAGACTTAGGCCCTGGCTGAGAGGGTGTCCCCAGGGCCCTGCTCCGGCCTTTGGTTGGGTATCAGGTGTGAACAGGGTCAGGTGAGTGTGTGAAGGGAGAGGAGGGGAGAGGCAGGGCCGTTCCCCAGGTTGGCAGGGCCGCGCGGGCGGAGGCATGGGCTCGGGGTAGCTCCAGCTTTGGGGGCAGTGCTGGGTTTGTGTGCCCTTGGGGGTGGGGTGGTCAGCTGGGCTGGAAGCCTCCCTGGACAGCCTTCCCTGCCCCAGATGCAAGGGAGTCAGTGGAAAGGGCAAGCCAGGCTGTGCCCACCTCCCCATGAACCAGCCAGTTGGGGGTGTCCCCGCTGCCGCAGGAAGCCTTGGGGTCTGCCAGCCCTGCCCCCCGCCTGCAGCCACCTGTGTCCCTCTTTGCAGCCGGCCCGGAGCCCCTGACCTGGCCGGAAGCGTTGGTGTTCCGCAGGGATGCGCGCTGGTCAGGCCCGCCGTCCTGGTGCCCGCCGTGGGCGTGGGCTTGGGCCGCGGACGTGGGCGGACAGCCTCTCAGCACTGTCCTCTGCCGCAGTCCTTCAGCCCCTCGCGGGACCCACCCGACGGCAGCCTGATCCAGGGCGCAGCTCACGCCATCGTGGCCGCCATCACCCAGCGGGGAAACAGCTCGCTGCTGCTGGCCATCACTGAGGTCAAGGTGGAAACGGTCGTTGTGGGTGGCACCTCCGCAGGTGAGCAGCGTCAGGGGCCCCCTAGGCCACAGCAGCAGGCAGGAACCCTCAGGCACTCGCTGCCCGGGGGCTGGGCTGGGGCTGTGGGTGTAGCCGCCCGGCCCCCGGAGCAGAACGCCTGCTGCCCCGCTGGCATGGAGTCCCAGATCCACACACCCCGGTCCCAGCCCGGGCCCCCAGCCCCCACCCGGGCCCCTCCCCACAAGCCAGGAGCCAAAGGAGGTCCTGGGACTGGGTGTGCGCCTGGCAGTCCCCTCCCCGCCCCGCCCCAGGTCTGCTGGTACCTGTGCTGTGCGGCGTGTTCAGTGTGCTGTGCCTGGCCTGTGCGGTTGTCTGCGTGTGGTGGACCCGCAAGCGCAGGAAAGAGCGGGAGAGGAGCCGGCTGCCGCGGGAGGAGAGCGTCAACAACCAGTGGGCCCCCCTCAACGCCATCCGCAACCCCATCGGGCCGGGCGGCAGCCACAAGGACACACTCTACCAGTGCAAGGACTTCACGCCGCCGCTGTGCAGGGCTGGCGAGGCGCTGCCCGGGCCAGCGGGCCACAGGGAGGACGAGGAGGACGAGGAGCCTGGCCGTGGGGAGAGAGGCGTCCCGGAGGCCGAGAAGTTTCTGTCACACACATTCACCAAAGACCCTGGCTGCCCTCCTGGGAGGCTGGCCCGCTGGGCCTCGGGCCCCAAAGTGGACAACCGTGCTGTCAGGAGTGTCAGCGACAAGCACTGCCTGGGCAAGGAGTAGGGCCACCGGGCTGGGACCCAGGACCCCGTGCTGGGCGCAACCCACCCATCAGACATGGGAGGCTGAGACTGTGTGCATAGTTTCTTTATTTTGTATAAAAAAACCCACCAAAACCCAAAAACAAATGTTTATTTTCTATGTTTCTTTATCCTGTATAAATTATTTGATGACTGTCAGGCAGAGAACAATGGAGCATTCTCAGATAGTTGCTATTTTTGTAATGTTCCGTGTGTCACACTTGCCGAGCGGCAGGAGAGATCCAAGGGTGTCTGTGCCCCCGAACGGCTTGATGTTTGTCCCCAGAGGTGGCGCTCTGTTTACAGAATCTTCCTTTTTATTCCTCAGTTGGGGTTCTCAGTGGCTCCAGGCCAAAGAGCCAGTGGGACCCGTGGTCAGGTCCATGGCGATGGTGGGACCCGTGGCTGTCAGTGGGCCCACTGGTGGCATTGGTGGGACCCGTGGCCGTTTGGCATGGCCCTTGGTATTGGACCTGTGGCTGTTGGTGTGTCCTGAAGCTGTTGGTGGGACCCTAGTGATGGGCGTGGCCTGTGGCTGTCGGTGGGCTCGAAGTTGTTGCGGGGCCGTGGTTGGCGTGGCCTGAGGCTGTGGGCAGACCTGGTGACTCGCCGGCCCCGCCTGCCCCCGTGCTCTGGAGGTCTCCCCACTTGTGCTTTCAGAAGTGCCCTTCCTGCCTGCTCTGTGCCCGGGAGGGCGGCAGTGCTGAAGCCTGAGACAAGTGCCTTCACACAGACCCCCTAGCAGCTGTCAGCATTTGCCTGCGGCCCACCCGCTGGCCGGCCACCCCTCCTCGTGAAAGTGCATTTTTGTAAATATGTACATATTAAATGGATCACTCTGTATATTTGGTTTAATAACTTAAAGGTTTTGGCCTCTGTGGTTCTTCTGTGCTGTTCCTTTGTCATTAGAGTGGAGCTGGGGCGTGGCCTCAGCTGGCGAGGTCAGGGGGCAGGGAGGCTGGGGCAGGGGGCTGCAGGTGGCGGTGGCGGTGAGGTGCTCCCGATGTCCTCAGGGCTCCATGGGCAGCAGGGGCCAGGGGCACGCTGGTGCCCTGTGGGCTTGGTGGAGGCTTCCCTGGAGATGGGGGAGGAGGTGCTTTGCATCTGCCGCCTCCTAAAAACAGCTAAAACTAGCTTTGTAAGTGACTGAAAGTTGCTCAGCAATTAAGAGCTGTCAAGTGTAAGGAATCGCCGGGTCACAGCTTGGGACTATGGAGACACCACAAGCAGGTCCTATGCCTCGTTGGTCAGATGAGCACGGCTGGTGCCCATGGTGCAGACGGCAGGCAGACCCAGCTGCGTGTCAGTGTGTGTGCGTTCAGTCTTCCGTGTGGGACAGGTGATCACTAAGTCAAGGAACAAAGCCAAGAACAGAATGTATAAGAAAAAGGAGGACACGACGCAGCAGCAGTCGGGGAGTGAGCTGTGAGCTGCTGGCACGCTTTCTGGAGGTGCAGAGGTGGTTCTGAGCAGCTGCCCCCAAGCCCCTTCTGTGGCCATGGCTTCCAGATGCGCTGGCCCTCGGGAGGAGCGGTCTCTCTGGTCTGCCTTCGGGCACCAACTCCCCACTGTGGCAAGGCCAGGTCTGCGGGAGACCCCTCACTTGTGCCTGGACCCAGAAGGCTTGCACCCTCCAGCTGGGGCTGGGGGCAGTGGTAACCCTCTTCCTGCCTTGTCCCCCAGGGAGTGTTGCAGGCGTGTCGGGTGGGGTTCGCCCTTGAGAAGTCATCGTTCACACCAGACCCAGGGAGACACGCAGCTCACGTCACCACCACCAGGTGTGCCAGAAAGACGCCCAGCTCCACGTTCCCTTCTAAACTGCTTGTCTAGCTCTACCCGTAGGTGCCCAGTAGAAACAAATGCAAATGGCCTGTGCCCTAGACCTCCGTACACCCGGAAGTACTTTTTCAAGGTCAGTGACCATACCTTAGTCCAAACCCAAGCGCGCAGGGGCCACCAGATGACAGGTGTGTGTGGGACGCTCAGACTGGGCATAACCATGATTGCCGTCTGCCCAAAGAGGACAGGTCGAGAATGCTGACAGGTCAAACAGGAGCTTGGAGAGAACTTCTGGGAAGGACCGAGGGCCATCCCCAAACTGAAGCCTCCCCAGCTCCTCTGAGCAGGGGGCTCAGAGGGAGGCCAGGGGACGACGAGCAGGACCAGCCCAGAGAGCGTGAAGGCGGCTGTCGTGTGGGCAGGGCAGCGAGCAGCGGGACGGGGGCCCTGCAGAGTGCACCGAGGCTGGTAGGAGCTGCCAGGTGTGGGGTGAGCAGAGAAGGTAGGAGCAGGTGGTCCTGGGCAGGAGGTGTGCCCTGGGGATGCTAGCGGCCCCCATGCTGTGCCCGGGGCCGAGCACATTCCCGGCTCGGATGTCTCATGCCTGTGTCACTCCTGGACCACAGGCTCATCCTCGCCCACTGCAGCCCAGTGCCCTACGGCTGGCCCATCCCCTGCCCCTCAGCCCCCGGGCCAACTCCAGAGTGCTTTTCACCCTGTTGGGACCTGGTCTTCTGCGTCCTGCCTGAGGCTGGTTACCCCGTGGCAGAGGCCAGACCCCTCTGTCCTGCCCTGACCAGCACCTTGTTTTCTCCTGGGTGTGTAATTAGCCCCCAGAGGGGCGGCTGGTTCATTAGAAAGTTCAAAGAAAAACATGCCCGCAGGAGTGCCAGCTAGCAGCCGCCCATGGTCACCCCGAGGTTGGTGCTGGGCTCTGGGGCTCCTCTGGCCATGGGAACTGTCAGCAGCCCCCAGACCAAAAGGCTTCTCATTCCCGAATGGCACCGCCGAGGCCGGGATGGGGGGGGGGGCGGTGCAAGCCCGGGATCAGTTTGAGGCCCTCGCGGCTGGTCTCTTGCTGCCCCACATCTCTGCCTCCTGCTGACAGGTCTGGGGGTGCCGGCTGGGAGATCCCAGGGTCCTGCAGGAGAGGACTGGGGCTCTGGCCCAAGGGCTGGGCTCAGAGAGCCACTCCACCGGTTCTGGGATGAATGTCACCAAAGTGGGTCTGGGCCCTCCTGGAGCCCGGCAGGCATGGATGTTCAGGCTGGGGAGTCCCTGAGTTGACAGCTTGGGCAGCGTCCAAGGAGGCCTCTTGCTCTGTGCGTAGTCAAGGGTCGACGACAGCCGGATCCGCCTGTGTCCGCCTGGGGCCTTGGTGGGGGCCTGGGTAGAGCCTGAGGCACCAGGTGGGTGCCCGACTGTGCTGTGCTGGCTGATGTGTGCAGCCCGGGGCAGCCCTGGGCACAGGCGCTCTCTCCCTGGGCCGGGCCCCAGAGAGCCCCGCTGTGCCTGCTAGCTGAAGCACGGCCTGTCCACGGTGGCCACCACTGCTGGTCCATGACACAGGCAGAGGCATCGGTGCACAGACCCCTTGGAGGTGCCCGCCTCCTTCGGGCAGGGGTCAGACTGCCCTCTCCCACCCCCTCTCATCCCCACGTGGCCAGAGCGGGGAGCAGTGCCCCGTTCCTGACCTGCCAGGCTGACCCAGTGTCCTGGCAGGCTGCCTGCCGGGCACTGAGCAGCTCGGCCGGGATCAGCGCCTCCTGCACCCGCGTCCTCTGCTTCCTTGGTGCTCGGCCCCAGGGGCTGTGCCAACTGGCTCCGCCTGGCGACAGCTCTGACTGCCGAGTCTCCGAAGAAACCAGCCCCCAAGGAGCAGGCAGATCCCGGGCATGTCCCCGGGGCAGCCGTGCCACAGGCTGGGGGTGGCGGCCTCGTGGGGGCCTGGCTTGGGTCCCAGGGCCTAGATTGCCTCTTGCTCATCAGACCCTGAGACTGAGGTCTTCCAAGGAGCAGGGCCGGCAGGAGCCTGTGAGGGTCTCAGATCAAGCGCATCAGGGCTCCAAGGGCTTGGAGACCACCGCTCCGAACGGGAAGGGGTCTGGGCCACCACCGTCTTCGTGGCTTCCTCGGCCTTCGGGTCCGGGAAGCCCACCGTTGAGACGGCGAGGACTCAGTCCCGGGAGATGACAGCTTGTGGTGGGGGGTGTCCCCAGGAGGGCAGCAGGCAGGAAGGCGGGGGCGCGGGAGGCCTCCCTGGGGCACAGGGGCGAGCAGGGAGGCAGCCAGGTGGTGCCTGAACGCCAGCGCTGGCGAGGACCAGCTTCTGAAGCTGTGAGGAGGGCAGGCGTGGAGGGTGTCGCTCCGGTGGCAGAGACCAGAAAACCTATCAGTCTAAAATGACGCAGCTTCCCCACCTCGCCTCCCCGGGGGTCGGGGGTCTTGGAGCAGCTGAGCTGGGCAGCTTGGGCTCCAGGTCTTGTGGCTGCAGCTGATTTGGGGGCAGAAGAGTAGGCCAAGGAAGGGCGGGGGAGGGATGGTCGCCAGCATTTGGAGGAGATGTGCTTTGAGCTGGGTTTGAAGGGAGTGCCAAGCACAACCCCAGCGGACAGTGGCCAGACTGCAGTGGTGGCCAGACCCCAGGCCAGCAGCAGAGCCAGCCTGGGGGCAGGTGAGAGGAAGACAACGCTGCGTGTCCCAGATGCCAGACCCGTGCGAGATCCTGAGCAGACAGCGAGGTCAGGACGGATGAGAAGGTGGAATCAGAGATGCAGTCACGGAGGCAGAAGAGCCGTCATAAGGAGAGCAGAGAACTGAGCCCTGGGGTTTGGAGGGAGGGTGGGCGAGAGTGCAGAGGCCGTCTGGGCAGGGGGAAGGGGGCATGCCTCAGGCTCTATTGCATGTGGGGTGCGTGGAGCTGGCCCCAGGCACAGGCGTTCGGCCTTTTTGGCTGACAGCAGGGGAGTGTGTGAACAGGAGAGTGGGCAGGCCTGCGCAGGACACAGGCCTCCACGTGGCCAGGGAATGGAATGAATGGGTGGTCAAAGGCCAACAGGGAGGGGATGCTTTGCAAAGACCACAGTGGAGGGAGTTCTGAGAGGGCACAGCCAGTGCCCTGCAGGGCAGTGCCCTATCTGCCCGGGGAGGTATGATACTCAGCCTGGTCAGGGATGCTCATATAAATGCCATACAAGGTGGAATATGACAGACGGATCATTTAATGAGTGGGGTTCGCATACTCGGCTCCATCTGATGTGCAGTAAAATTTGTAAGGATTAAATAAGTGAGACGGGACTTCACACTCACCAGGATGGATATAGTAAGAAAGGCAGATAATATTAAGTGTTGGTGAGGATGTGGAGAAAGCAGAACCCTTGTAGCGTACCCTCTTTGGAAGGGAGTCTGGCAGTTTCTTAACCTTTTAGGTCAAGCTGGCTTTACCATGTGACCCAGCAGTTCCACTCCATGGCAGCTACTAGTGAACTGAAAACGTGCCTGCAGACAAGAACTTCTTTGTGAATGTTTGCAGCACCATATTCATCACGGCTCAAAGCTGAAAACAGCCTAGATGTCCATCAGCGGACGAGTGGTGTTCCCATGCAGCGCAGTATCATTTCAGCCGTAAAGAGGGATGAAGTTCTGACGCACGTGACGACAACTTGCTGGGAGAAGCCGGGCACAAAAGGCCACATGCCGTATGGTCCCCTTTCTGTGAAGTGTCCAGAACAGGCAAGTCCACAGGGACAGAAAGCAGAGGACTGGTTGTGGGGTCGGCGAGAGGGGACAATGGAGGGACTGCTGAAGGGTGTGAGGTTTTTCTTGGAGATGACGATGTTCCAGAATCGACTGTAGTGACTCCAGGAATGGACTAAACAGTCAATAAACACTTAAAATGGGTAAATTGTAAGGCACGTGGGGTCTATCTCAATAAAGCTGTTACAATCAAACAGGGGCGCACGGCACCGCTGACCTTTCGAAGCGGTTTGATCACGATGCTGGCCTCCGCAGGTTTTGGGCACGGATGAGACCCGGAACGCAGAGAACCGGTTCACACGGTTTCCTTCCTGAAGCCGTGGTGCCGGGCCCCTTGCTTCCAGC